TGAGAGCACTATGAATACCATAGTTTGCCAAAAACAAACAAACAAATGAATTGGTCCAAGAGCAACTCAAGGTTTAACTCTGTCTTGAAGTCAAGATGACTAAAATGAGCCTAGCATACTTTGGGACATATCATGAGATTACTCATTAGACTACAATGCTTGTTATGGTTTTATTTATCGAGTCAGAAGCAAATTGAGAATACAGTTATTATGCATAGAAAAACCACAAACAAAGTTAATAGCTTGGCATTGTACTAAATTTCCTTTGACCAGAAGCTGGCCACTTCGAGTGCCTCTTGTGTCGCTGTAAGAAGGTCCTCCATTGCGCATGTGGCAGGCAGGGGCGGCTCAACCCATTATGCAAAGTAAGCATTTGCAATATAGTTGATTTTGCCCAGGGATGCTCTTGAGGTGCTCTTGGGGGAAAATAGACCTTGATATATGTGAGTTGTAGTTACTGGGATGTATAGTTCACCTACAATCAAAGAGCATTCTGAACTCCACCAATGATGGAATTGAACCAAATATGGCACACAGAACTCCCACGACAAACAGAAAAAATATATATCATTGATTGGTTTGGGGGGGGGGGGCGCCAAAATACTGTTTGCTTAACGTTGAAAATTACTTAGGGCCGCCTCTGGTGGCAGGGCTCAGACTGCATTGTAATAGATGGTCTGTGGTTTGCTCTTCTCCACACTCACAGACTCCACTTTATAACCCCATTTCTTAAGGTTAGCTCTGCATCTCGTGGTGCCAGAGTGCAGTCTGTTCAGAGCCTTCCAAGTCTCCCAGTCTTCTGTGTGCTCAGGAGGGAGGATCTCATCTGGTATCAGCCACTAATTGAGGTTCCTGGTTTTAACCTGCCACTTTTGGACTCTCACTTGCTGAGTTGTTCCTGCGAGTATCTCTGTAGATCTTAGGAAGCTATTTCTTGATTTAAGGTGTTAGCTTGCTGGCTGATGTCCAAACTGAGGATGGGCCACAGATGCCAATGCCTTGCAGCTTGTTATGGTGACCACAATACAGACAGATAGATTCTATCAAGAAAGCTATTACAATAAATCTACAAGACCTGAGCAGGGTTGTTGATGAACGTGTTACTTGGATGTCTCTTATTTATAGGGTCACCATAAGTCGAAGTGGACTTGATAGCAATTGATAACAAACAACAAACTTTGGGGCTATAACATCCAACTGTCTCCTTATTAATTAGTCAGCCCCTATGTAATATTGTTGCCTGCATCCCTTTTGTGTGGTGTGGCGATGCCTCCATTTTAAATTCATTCAGAATGTACTACCTTTCCCTTCATGTTGTTCAGTGATAGTTGGTAGTTTCTATGTTGATGTGGCAGCAATTCCCTTTCAGGTTTTAGTGTGAAATTTAAATGGAAGTAACCATGTTGCTTTGGCCACATCATGAGGAGACAGCAAAGCCTAGAGAAGACAATTATGCTGGGGAAAGTGGAAGGTAAAAGGAAGAGGGGCCGACCAAGGGCAAGATGGATGGATGGCATCCTTGAAGTGACTGGACTGACCTTGAAGGAGCTGGGGGTGGTGACGGCCGACAGGGAGCTCTGGCGTGGGCTGGTCCATGAGGTCACGAAGAGTTGGAGACTGAACGAATGAACAACAACAACAACCAAGGTGCTGAACCCTTGTTGCTGCCTTCAAATCAATTTCAATGTATGGTGACCTGAGGAGCAAGAGACCTCTGTCTCACCTTGTCCTCCACAGCCTTGCTCAGCTCTTGCCCACACAGGGCCATGGTTTTCTTGATTCAGTCTTTATCTTTTCTCCTTTCCTATTGCCCTCCATTTTTCCAACCAGATTGTCTTTTCTAGTGTATCATTTATGAAGCTATGAAGGATGACAGCTTCGTTTTACTCATCTGCGCTTCTATGCCAAGGTGAGGCCTGATTTGCATGAATACATATCTATTTATTTATTCATTTATGTTGAACCCTACCTACAAAATAGGTTCAGTAACTTAGAAAGCCCCTTTAAAGTGTACAGAAAAATCCAGAGTAGACATATTGCCATACTTACACAGTAGCCAAATATTGCCATTGATAGCTTTATAAACTTTTCCCCTTGGAAAGCTATGGAAACATTTATTTCACAATATTAAATACAGAACTGCCAAGTCACATGGCTACATTTCTGTAATCATATCTCCTATGATATCACCCCACGTCCCCAAAAACCTTTGTAAGCATGGCAACTTCTATGCACAATTGGAGCAGAATTTTGATCTAGAATGTTTCAAATCAAATTGTTCTAATGCAGTGTTCCCAAACGTTTGGTCCTCCAGATGCTTTGGACTTCAGCTCCTAGAATTCCTGACAGTTGGCTAACCTAGCCAAGGCTTCTGGGAGTCAAAGCCCCAAACAACTGGAGGACCAAAGCTTGGGAACCACTTTTCTAGTGCAATTAGTATCTTTTGGGTGAGAAACACTGCAAGCACTGTGTAATATTTACTTTACTAACAGAAGAGGAAAACATAGATGGAAGCAAGCAGATAAAACAAAGGGAAGCAATGTGTGGAATCTTGTCCTTCTTGACAGATTGAGGTCAAGCAAACTGCTTCAGTCTCTCTAAGCATATGTGTCCTTCATCATTAATAACTTTGCCATCTTGACCATACTCCATGTTGTTTGGTGACACTTATCACAGTCTCCCTGTGTAAAATGCTGGTGGGTACGTAGTCATGGATTATGGGAGATACAGTCCTTAATATTTCCCAGTTTCCATCTGTGAAATACTGGAGGATATGTGGTAAGGGATTATAGGAGCCATAGTCCAAAATATTTGTAGGGTCCTCTGTTCTGAAAAATTGTGTGTCCCAATTATTTGGCCCTACGGGCTGGGGATTTTGAGAGCTGTGGTCCAAAACTACTTTTTCCAAGCTCTTGACTTACTCTTTTGGATACCTATAAGCCTATAGTACATGTCGACTGATGAACAATATTTTCTGAAAAGAAGCTGACATACTAACATGCCTTGGATACTGATGATCAGAGTACAAAATAAAGACAAAGTAACACAGCCTAACCTTCTATACTTAGATTCTATACTTAGATTCTAAGTCCAGCTGTTAAAACCTAATAACCAAGCTGTAACTCCACTGTGCTGTTCAGCTACAGACTGCTGTCACGCAATGTTCTGGCCTGGTGATATGAAATGTTTCAAATTTATATAAAGCAAAAGATGTCCTGCTAAATGGCATCCACTTCAAGACATTCCTCTTTCCAGTTTCCACTAATGTGAAGACATTCATTTTGAAATGATCTGGACTATTATTTTATTTGTTAACGAGTGACAGAATTTTAAAACTACGCACAAAAAAAGAGTCTCATAGCTCCTTAGAAACATAAAAATATATTATTGTGTAAGAATTTTGGGACTATATTTTACATCATTAAATGTAGGATTTGTAATCTAGGGTTACAAACATATACATATAATTGGGAAATTATATAAGCAATAGTCTTGTGCATTTGTACAGAATCACTATCCGTTTCAGTTTGTTTCATTTGTAAGGCCCCATTTTTGTTTTTGAGCACCTCTCCCAAAAATGGGTGCCTTTCAGAATGAGCTTTTTGCTCAACATCCAAAAAAACCCAAATATATTTGGCCCATTGGTAGCAAAATGCTATGGCCTAGAGCCGAACATCAAGTAAGAGGCGCTTGGCTGTAGACTCTGCCAGGGCCTACATCTAAGCGCACCAAGCAACTGATGCACTTTGATGTAGGTCCTAGCCACATCAGACCTGGGCAGGGCCTACAGATGCGCAATGAATGCCAAAAATCAGCTGACCAAACGGTCACCATTCCCACTTACCTTTAGTTTCACCAATTTTTCCAAACAGGAGTGGGGTGTACCAATACATGCCATCCAAATGAACGGTACGAAACAAAAACACGAAATAAATAAATGAGACTAATACTGGGCCCATGACTAATAGGGAAATTCCCAGGTCACTCTACCCATAATGCCTGTCTCTAAAGACCTCGCAGAGGTGTATACTTAAAGAAAGAAATGCTCTCGAGATCTGTAAAAAAAATAGTGCTAGCCTTCCAGAATTTGGACCCTTCAAGGATGTCGTGTTCAAATTTTCTACTACTGGTAATTCACAAACACCTAATTCCTCTAATCAGAAGATTAAGACAGTTACAATGGTATAGTAGTTAGAGTGCTGAACTAAAAGTCTGCAAAATCAGGTTCAAATTTGTTCTCAGTCCTGGAAACCCTTACCTTGTTTTTAGAGGATGGCAATGGTAAACCTTTGTCTTTCAACCTCATCATACGGGGCTAAAATTAGTGACATATGCCGATCTAGCCCCGGTCACCCATGGAGCCGGCTAGCACCCATCAGACGATGTCATGCCAGCTCTGTGGGTGAAGGAGGGTAGAACTGGTGTGCCAATGCCACAACACTGGAAGCTTCCTTTGTTGCCATTGACTTTATGGGGGAAGCTGCATGCTCCATGCATGCACCACACTCCCCACCCCATGGAATCACCTGCCAGGGGAACCTGGCAATGCGGGGTGTGGGGCAGTGGCTTCCCCATCTCCTGCAGTGAAATGGAGCCATGTGGGACATAGCATCCATATCTGCAGTTTCACCCACACTCAAGTTTCCCTATGTCCTGCAGACAATTATATAATATACTTCCAATGGAAGTTAGTATACAGTTGTGTTGGAGATCCTAACAAATTCCTCGAGATGATATCTCTCTAAGAATCTCTAGGTCATCCACGACAACTCTATGATATGCTAAGACTAGAATTAATTCAATGGTGCATGATCTATCTGCAGTTTTGTGTAATTGCGATCCAGCTGAGAACGCATCCCCCAAAAATGTGGGAATCTTTCTGTATACAATAGATGAATGTTTCTGAAAGTTTTTGATCTGCATTGATGAGGGAGAGGATAGGTGGAGTATAAAGAAATATAACAATAGCAACCAAATATTTTTTAAAAAAAGTTTCTTACCTTTGGAAGTCTGTATTTCTCTCGCATATGAACCCTCAAGACAGCCCTCTCAGCCTTTTTTTGTGTAAAGGCTGCATCTCTTTCCATTCTAAAAGCAGAAAGAAAATGCTTTGTAATCATAAACTGAACATCCCACTACTGTTTGGTAAGATTGTGTGTATACTATAACATTTATAGCTGTTGGTACCACTTTAATTAGTAGTTCAACTGTCTGCACTACAGAATACTAGGCTTTATAGTAAGGTGAGCTGTAGTAGGAGGATTGGGTTAGAGCTCTCCAGCAGATAATTCTGGATGCCTTGCCAAACTACAGATCCCAGGGTCCTTAAATATGGAACAATGACAGATAATGCAGTTTTAAACCATAACAATAGCATAGTCATGGAGATATACTCATGGAGATGGAGGAGATCTCATAATCCATCTAATCCAACCTGTGAATTGGTGCAGAAAGAACAAAAGGTAAATCACCTCCAAAGGAAGGCTGTCCAAAACCTACATAAAGATCCCACAAAAAAGCTCTACTAGGAGAGTTGCATGTCCCTGGACTTGGCTTCATAATGTATACTCTTACCATTACAATGTTTGGCCAAAGACTGCTTTAAGAATGACATAACAGCTTGATATACTATTGTTACAGTTTGGCTTGAGTCCGGCACACATAAGTGAGGTAGATACAGTGGGAACCCTCCAACATTTCACAGATGAAGTTTTGGCAAAGCAATATCAGACTGGTCATAATGATAAACAGCAATAAGGAAGTCAAGTCACACAAGTAAAGACCGACTGCAGCTGTTTGCTTTTGCCTGAGTCTACTGGGAAGGTCAAGGCTCTGCCTCCTCCTCTCCTCCCTGCTGAGTTAATGGACTGCAAGCCACTTTTGCACTTTGAACTCAGCTTACCACAAGTGAAGTAAGATGAGGATAAAGAGGGGAAGTGGAAGGAGGAAAGAACTGGGAAATTTTAAAAGCAGCTGAAAATCAGAGCTGTCTCTGGTAAATTGGGATAGTTGGATAGTATAAGAGGCTTCCTTCTATTTCAGTGAAATAGTGAGGTTATTCCAGAGTTTAGTCTGGCCTTTACAAGAGCTATCCAAAAGGCTACACTTATTTTGCAGGTATGGATAATGCCTTCATGGTGAAAACCAAGGCAGATTAGCAACCAAAATCTCATTGATGTGGAAGTTACAAGTCATTGCTAGGTAGCTCACACCTCTATCCTATGGTATATTTTTAGCTTATTATGATGTGGAGATTTTGAAATAAAAACTGGCAAGGGAAAGTTTACATCTCCCTGATCTTCAGGTTTCCGAAATTCACTTGAGGGCAAAGGAAGGAGAAGGAGAAGAGGAGGAAGAGGAAAAGGAAGAAGTTTCTAAACTTCACATTATGTATTTAATGTAGTCTGTAACCAAGACCAATTTCTGCAACCTTTCTGCACAGGACTTATTTTCCATATAATACATGCTTCTGTTTAAAGTGTACACTTCTTCAAGAGCATGCTATAGGGGATATTTTAAATCCAGTGGGGGTTCATAGGGTTACATTACATTGTCATTTTATCATGCATTTGTTGATTCACAAGAAATATTTATAAGTTCCAGCAGGGCTTGAAAAGTGATGTATAATAAATTGGCAATATGAAAACAGAACAATATGTTGAGCCATTTCAAATGTTTTACAAAATCTAACATGGACTGAGATTCTGCACCACAGTCTATGTTTATATCTTTACAAATCTATTGCTATATATCAAAATGCAACAAATCCCCATTAGTGATTGTTACATTGTGTATCTGGGCACTGGCAAGAGTGTTCTAATATGCATAAGGTGCTCTTGGTAAGCATCAGGCACGTAATGTACACCAGACCCTTGTGATGTACATTGGGCACTCACGTTGTGCTCAAGCACTTCCTAGGCACATTGCAAATACCTCAGTGCTTATCACTGTGCATTGGCAACATGGCACATGAGTAATTCTACTGGCTGCCATTGCACAAGAGACACCTATATATTGAAATATAATGGCAGTTGTGAAGAATATGTATATGGTGAAGTGATTTATTTATTTATTTATTTATTTGCTTCATTCATACCCAGCTTTTCTCACTCCTGTAGGGGGACTCAAGGTGGCTTACAACTCCAGCAAGATTCAGCCTTATTTCCTGCTCGTGAAAACCCACTTATAAATACACAAGTTCCACCCTGAATTCCAGCCATATGCTGCCACTATTTTTCAATAAAACACTTCAAACATAGAAAATCAATTGCAGCCTTTATATTACTTTGTGCAAAAGGAAGATAAAACCTGATAATATTTCCCCAAAGTCCGATTTTTGACTGAAGCATGTAAACTTGAACAGGAATTCCCAATCTTCTGTATTTACATAAAACCCTTGTGATTGGTGATGTGAAACAGCATAAAAACAGCATTATCTCATCCCAGTTTAAACCACTCTGCACATGTTCATTAAAAACTCAGCAAGAAGTTAACATAAAATTAGGCATGGGTATTTCTATGTAAATGAAGCCCTTTCACCTAGATAATCTTAGAGGAAGTAATTTGAACACATTATCTAAAAGATATGTGTTCCTCTATGATGCTTCATTCTACCTAACTGCTAGCTCTCTGTTTTTTGGCCTTGACTATCTTAATGGAACAGTTATACAACAATATGCCTCTTTCTGTGTGTATGCTTTTTCTAGTCTCCAAAGCATTTCCAATGGACACCAAAGGACATCTAGTCCAGCCCCCCTCTGTGAGGCAAGAATGCAAGTTATGACATTATCATATGGTTATCATTAATCTTGATTGTCCTATATTACTCATTTTGAAAACTTGACAACACTGCAGTCCTATACATACAAATCTTGAAATAATACTCATTGGGCACAACAGGGACTCATTTATGAGCAAGCACACATAAGGTTTCAATTTTTGCATTCTTCTACAAAAGAAGAGATGGATTGCTGCAAGACCCTGCCCAGAAGAGGCAGTGGGCATGTGCCAGAGAGATGTGATTTGACCATGATTCCCCAGCCAGGATCCCCATGTAGGATTATTCCAGTCTCCCTTTCACATCTGATGTGTATTGGTGGCAACAAATAATTGCTGCACCAGGGTTGAATGGAAAGTCCAGAAGATCCAGCATGATGTTGTGGGTTGAATGCTGGACTAAGGTTCTAGGGCAGTAGGGTTCAAATCCCCACTCAGCCATAAAAATCCACTGGATGGCCTTGGGGAAATCACACACTCTCATCCTGAGAAGAAGGCAATGGCTAATTCATCCATCATTTTATTGACCATCTCAGCTGTCAAGCCAGCACCAGGCATTTCTACTGAGTAGGCAGGTAGACATGTTCAAAACTTGCTCTGCACATTCTGCTACTATATCAACAATCAACCATTTATTATGGTTCATAGATCCATCAGTGAATTAACAGTCATTAAAAATTATCCCATCTCATCATCCAAAATTAATATATATAGTTTCAAGTAATACCCCTATCCGAGGTTAGTTTCTTTCTCAGCCTTGTTGCCACTGTGAGAAATTTGCCACTATAGGGGTCACCCTGTGGCACTTGTCCTCTAAAAGATACCTAACAATCCCTTGCAGGGGATGGCTGGTCATGTGGGACAAAATTGGATATAAAAGTTGGCTATCTTGCACTGTATAATAGCGGCACTTCTATAAAATGTGTTCTATTGTTTCTACTTCATTTCCTTCACAGGGGCGTAGTCTTTGGGTGTCAGGAGTTCTACTATAAGAATATTTCTGAAGTGCTCAGTTCTCTTCTGACCCCTCCAATCCCATTTGCACAAACCCTTTTGCTCAGGTGCAACTCTTTCAAGGGACTGGGTTTACAGCTACAGTCCTTGAACAAGAAAATCTATCTATCTATCTATCTATCTATCTCAGTGTCCTTGATATGGTGTCTATAACAAAAGCAGTTTTCTTGGGGGGAGGAGGGGATTTTGAACCCCAGACATTTTTAGTTGCCTTCAAAGGCAACACTAATTGGCCACAGTAAATATAGGAAAGACTTCTTGCCCAGCCCACTGACACTTTTCATTGAGAGCCACATCAGCCTTTTGGTTGCCTTCAAAGGCCCATTGAATCCATGGACAGAGAATCCTTGAATAAAGAGAGCTAACTGTAATTTTTAACATAGTCAATACTCTTTAGCTTTTACCCAATTTGGGCCCCCAGATGTTAGTGATCAACAACTCCCATCCTTCTGATTATTTGCTATGTGGTTATGAATTGCAGCACTTGAGACTCTGAGGTTAGGGATAGGTTAAAGGCCATCTTAAAGTCACACATCATACCCACAAGCCTTGTATCTAAATACAAACCCCACTATCCTGACCAAATAGAACAAACTGCAGCTTGTATCACAAACCCATCAGCTCTAGTCATGGTGTCAAGGATAAGAGAAGTTCGGCATCCAGAGGGCCACATAAAATGACTGGATTCGACCTGTGAGCCTTGATTTTAACACATGTCCTTTAGAGCAAGGGATACAATTTGCTTTCTGCCCCACTCCTTTAACTTTTTATGCTTTATGTCTGAGATCAAAGTACTAAAGCCGTTTGCAATCCATTAAATCAGCTGGGGTAGAGAGAAGAGGGCAGAATATTGCCCATCTCAGAAGGCTCAGGCAAAAGCAATCTCCTGCAGCCTTTCCTGGTTTATGTCTTTGACCCCATTCATTGATTTTGCCAACTTGGTCACACTTGGATGTTACTTGGCAAGTATCCAGAATTCATCTGTGACATGTAAAAGGCCATAGTGTACTCCGTGTGTAATGTTAAGATTGGGCAAAGGAACATTTCTTTCTTCTGCTTTAGTTTCCCGACAGCCCTGTTCACTATGTATAAACAAGGGTCAGACATGTTTCTACATAGGTTAAGTCATAGTAGAGCTGATGGCTTCATATTATGAAAGGCTTCTAAATTACAGAAAATAATACTAAATATCAAAGTTGATATAATTGTTAGAATACACGTTTTTTTGGACTAAGCCTTAAAGTGTCTTAAATTTGACACAGGTTTCAATGTGTATTCAATCCTAGGGGCAAAGCCTGATAGATAAAATAAGGTCTATTTTAGCCTATTGCTCTTCCTGAGCAAATGGTATCTGTGATAGATAGAATGCAAGAAAATAAACAGAGAGGTGAGATTGAGAAGTATGGTATATTACATCCTTTTGGGTGTAGCTGCACTGCAGAATTAATGCAGTTTGACACCACTTTAACTGCTATGCCTCAAAGCTTTAGAATAATTATCTTTGTAGTTTCACAAGGCCTTTAGCCTTCAGTGCCAAAAAGTGTTTCTTTGTTGTACCTATAATTCACAGGACCCCATAGTATTGAACCACGGCACTTAAAATAGTGTCAAACTGGATTAATTCTATGACAGATGCACCCTTCCTCTTCCATGCGGTTTGTCAAATCTGGTTGTCCTTGTGGTTTGTGATTTTGAAATATGTTGAACCCAGATCACTTCCCTCTTGAGAATCAGTACATCATGCATTGGATTTACTATTTTAGATCAAGGATGGGGACCATCTAGCCTTCTAGAACTTGTTTAACTAGAACTCCCATCATTCTTCACCATTGGCTAATGAAAACCAGAGTCCAACAGGTCTATTTCCCATGCTTGATCTACACTTCCATGTTTGGAGGCAGTGTTTTGAGGTAGGAAAACTTTGCATGGTCTGGAATATTCTGTTGTGGGCCACAAGCCATTGATGGATGGAACAGGAGGCAAAGCAAGCAGAGTTTGCAACTAGGCTGAGGTCACAGGTTCCTTGCCTTTGCAGACTATTAATAAAGACTATTTGGTGAGATTGGAATTCTTTATGGCATCTGTTTGGTCTCTTTTGGACGCTAGATGCTGCACCATATCTTGGAAAGGTCACTTTTGGGACTGCAACTCCCAAACTCCCCCTGCCACATAAACATTTCTTGTTGTAGTCCCAAAAGGTTAGTTCTCCAAGATATGGCAATGTGCATATACCTAAGTCACTCAATAATAGTTCAGTGATTGAAATGAATAGAGGTGTGAAGTATTCATCAATGTGATACATAGAGTACATCTACACTATAGAATTGATGCAGTTTCATACTCCTTTAACTGCCATGGCTCAATGCTATGGAATCCTGAGGGGTGTAGTTTTACAAGGTCCTTAGTCTTGCCTGCCAAAGAGAGTTAACGCATCACCAAACTGCATCTTCCACGAGTCCATAATAGTAAATCATGGCAGTTAAAGTAGCATCAAATTGCATTAATTCTGCAGTGCAGATGCACTCTCAGACATCATCCAACACTGCAGATTTATGGCGGTTTGACATTATTTTGTAGCCCCACCCTATGGAACCCTGGGATTTGTAGTTCATCATGGCACCAGAGCTCTCTGACAGAGAAGGGTAAATATCTCACAAAATTACAGTTCCTAGAATTGCTTAGCATTGCGCCATGGCAGGTAATGTGGGGTCAAACTGCTCTAGTTCTAGAGCAGTGGTTCTTAACCTGTGGGTCGTGGACCATCAGTGGGCTGTGAGGATGAAAATCTGGTCTGTGAGCCTCCTTCCTCTTTATTTCATTTCATTTCATTTTATTTCTGCTCCTTTCATGCTGCCTGCCACTCCTATTGCTACCATGGCATATGTTCTGTATCAGAAACTAGAGCTGATATGGTCTATTCAATGCAATTTTCTGAATCAGCACCCCAAACCAAATCTAAAATTGACCAAAAACTGATTCGTAACCCTTTTGGTACTAATGTTGGAGAGAAGTCGCTGTTCAAAGTGGTCCCTGGTCAAGTGGTCCCTCGTTAAAGTGGTCCCTGGTCAAGTAGTCCTTGGTCAAAAAAAGGCTGGGAGCCACTGTTCTAGAGTCTGGCTACAGCTTCAGTTAGGCTTTTTGTGTTGTAATTGTGTCACTTCTGTTGCCAGACAACACTCATTATCACTGGGTTATATACTATTTGAGGCTTTTTCCTCTCATTAAACTTTTGCACACTTCTCTAATTTTTGTCTTGATTGATACACTTTGAGCACTGACAAATGTAGGAAATACACAAAATAAGGAAAACAAATGGAAAATAGGAGGGTCACGTGGGATTTAATCTCCCTGAGCCACTGAGTCATTGGATGACCTTTGGCATGTAATTTCACCTTTGTGAAACTCACTCAGTCTGTGCAGCTATAAAACTGGGGTATTATCAGGAGACAAGGGGGGTTGCTTCTATCTTCACATACCCTTGTTTTCATCAACCATTTATGTAACAACTGTTTACTTTTCTATAGGTTTAATTCCAGTCTTGAAAAGCACATTAATTCTGGTTTCTGCTTAGAGGAAACACAATTTAGCTTTGAATGCAATTGCATTATTACAGGCATTATTGAAAGGAATCCTCATTATATGCGGAGTCTGCTCATTCCACGTTTTGAATGAATGCCACCCCAGAAACATCATTGCTATCAATTGAGTTTCAAATATGAAAAAGTTGCACTTCAGATGCTATACGTTCCCAAGTCCACGTCACAAACCAGCTACTTCTAAATATAGCCCCAGCATGTCTTAAATTCCATAGGTCATTAACCTTTCACCCATAATCATCTTAGATGTGGGATTTAGCCGACCATTATGTAATTGATCATTAGTGAAATGATGTAGCGGAGATTTGAAAATACAATTGCTTTTGTGGCCATACTATTAGTGCTGGGTAGTAATATTTTTATGGCATCTTTTTGTGATGTTCTGCATTGTCTGACACATAGGTTATTCATATTACTAGAATTATTTGGAAATCAACTCAAAGGGAAAAAACATGTGTATACAACTTGAAAACTAGCAATTGCTTTTTAAACAAACATAGAGTTATTAGACGGGTTGAGAAACAACAATGCTTGCAATTATCATTTATAAAAAATGGTAAAAGAAAAGAAAGACACCTTCATGTTGTTGTTTTTTGATAAGGGCCTTGAATTTTGAGGGCAAAGGAGGTCAATTTAAGCAATCTGTACAATTTAAGTGAGCTCATGTAACATGGAGCACTAGCCAAAGCTTTACACAATTAATTCAGTTTACAGAAGTAAAATTTGAATAACTATCTGTGTGGGGAAGGAGAAGACAAAATTTACCCATGGAAACTATTTGCAGAAAGTATATTCTAGAGCAGTGTTTCTCAGCCTGGGGGTCGGGACCCCTGGGGGCAGGGGCAGCTCAACCCATTACGCAAAGTAAGCCTTCGCAGTATAGTTGATTTTGCCCAGGGGTGCTCTTGAGGCGCTCTTGGGGGGAAATAGACCTTGACCTATGCGAGTTGTAGTTACTGGGATGTATAGTTCACCTACAATCAATGAGCATTCTGAACTCCACCAATGATGGAATTGAACCAAATATGGCACACAGAACTCCCATGACGAACAGAAAATATATATCAGTTATTGGTTGGGGGGGTGGGGGTGGCAAATTACTGTTTGCTTACAGTTGAAAATTACCTAGGGCCGCCTCTGCCTGGGGGCAGAGGTCACAGGGGGTGCCAAAGACCATCAGAAAACACAGTATTTTCTGCTGTTCATGGGGGTTCTGTGTGGGAAGTTTGGCCCAATTCTATCCTTGGTGGGGTTCAGAATGCTCTTTGATTTTAGGTGAGCTATGAATCTCAGCAACTACAACTCCCAAATGTCAAGGTCTGTTTTCCCCAACTCCACCAGTATTCACATTTGTGCATATTGAGTTTCCATGCCATATTTGGTCCAGATCCATCATCATTTGAGTTCACAGTGCTCTCTTGATGTAGGTGAACTACAACTCCAAAACTCAAGGTCAATGACCACCAAACCCTTCCAGTATTTTTTGTTAGTCATGGGAGTTCTGTGTGCTAAGATTGGTTCAATTCCATTGCTGGTGGAATTCAGAATGCTATTTAATTCTAGGTGAACTAAAATTCCCAGCAACTACAACTCCCAAATGACAAAACCAACCTCCACATAACCCCACCAGTATTCAAATTTGGTTGTATCAGGTGTTTGTGCCCAATTTAGTCCAGTGAATGAAAATACATCCTGTATATCAGATATTTACATTACAATTCATAACAGTAGAAAAATTACAGTTGTGAAGTGGCAACGAAAATAATTTTATGGTTGGGGGTCACCACAACATGAGGAACTGCATCAAGGAAGGTTGAGAAACACTGTTCTAGAGACAGCGTGAAACACTAAGAACAAATATATCATATTTTTCATTCGTTATAGAGAAAGTATCTGGGGTAGCCTAGTTATGTCTCTCTTTCCTAAGAATCTGCTGAAAGAAAATATAAATGCAAGGTCATTTTAACTGGAGGGGGAAATCATAGAAGCTCCTTGAGAGTCAATAGCATGGAGAAGGCCCCCATATCTCCCTGTAGTTTTACCCCCTTGTGAACTGCGACAGTCTGAATTGGTTACGTGCAGTCAATATGGGGCAGTGCACTTACTTCTCTTCGATGACTTGCTTCTGGTACTCCTCATACTCTTCCCTGGTCATTCCGGCCGCAGCAGCTGGGTCGCTAGGAGCGGCTTCCTCAGTTTTTTCTTCACCCCCTCCTCCAAGTCCCAAATTTTTCACCTGGTTGCTCAGCATACTTTTCATTAGGAAAGCCATTTTCGTCTTCTTTTGCCCTCAAAAATGCCCTCCTCGCACACTGAACAACAAATCTGGAATACGACTGATAAACAGGGAAAAACACCCCCACGAAAGAAAATAATAAACTAGTCGGCAAATGGAATTTCCTACAGTCCTGGAGAAGCTGGTGAAGGGCACCGTGCTAGCGAAAACTGTATGCCAAAAACAGTTTGTCAGCCATAATCTGGATTAAGGCAGTGAAGTCCTTAGTATCCAGAGGCAGATGGTTCAGATTACTCAGAGGAAAAAATCATTAGATGCAGCTACCTACTTTTTATATTAATACCTTAAGCCAATTTCCATTTTTTTTAAAAAAAAGAGTCACGATAGATATTAAGACAATGTTGGTTTTTCTTTGTTTTGAGAGAGAGAGGCACAAATAAGGGAACAGAGTCTAGTCTCCTTGATGGTAATGTTGCTCTGGTTAAGTGGTAGGATCCAGTTGATTACATCCATGTTGTGAAATGGGTCAGCAAATCATGTTGGCTAGACGGGAACCAAAGAGGTAGCAGACGGAATGATAGGATTCTTCATTAAAGAGGAATCTATCTTTTTATCCATTAACATTGTTATATCCCATAGGGCACCGGATTTCAGTCTGATGTGCTCTTTCAAGTGCTTAGATGGATTGCAGATGGCCGCTGGAAAATTCATGTACATTGGAATACTGTTATTTGAATCATCCATGTCACTGTACTTCCAGTTTCAATGTACTGGTGTGAAACCTGGACAGTGTGGAAAACTGGTAGGAAGAAATTGATAGGAAGAAATAAAACTAGTTTGTAATGTGAAATATAAGAACAGGCCATGGAACAACAGACTGGTTCAAGATTGGAAAAGGAGTCAGGCAGGGCTGTATACTTTCACCCTACCTATTCAACTTGTATGCAGAACACATCATGCAACATGCAGGGCTTGATAAATTCAAGGCTGGAGTTAAAATTGCTGGAAGAAACATTAACAACCTTAGATATGCAGATGATACCACTTTGATAGCCGAAAGTGAGGAGGAGCTGAGGAGCCTTCTAACCAAGGTGAAAGAAGAAAGTGCAAAAGCTGGGTTGCAGTTAAACATTAAAAAAACAACACAGTATGCTCTTTTTTTCTTCTTCTCTCCCTTTTCGGCCCTCCCCATCCCTGCCCCCCTCCTACCTCGACCCCGTCCACTATCCGTTCCCTATTTCCTACTTTCCTATACCTCACAATTGTTCCCACACTATCACTGTAAATTAATAAACTTAATAAAAATATTATTTAAAAAAACATTAAAAAAACCCAAGGTGATGACAACCAGACTAATTGATAACTGGCAAATAGAGGAGAAAATGTGGTGACAGTGACAAATTTTGTATTTCTAGATGTGAAGATTACTGCAGACGCGGACTACAGCCAGGAAGTCAGAAGACATTTACTTCTTAGGAGGAGAGCAATGACCAATCTAGATAAAATAGTGAAGAGTAGAGATATCACACTGGCAATAAAGGTCTGCATAGTTAATTCCCCTTAGTAAACAATGCGAGAGCTGGACCATAAGGAAGGCTGAGCGAAGGAAGATAGATGCTTTTGAACTGGTTTTGATAGTGCCTTGGACCGCAACAAGATCAAACTAGTCCATCCTCCAGGAAATAAAGCCCGACTATTCATTGACGGGAAAGATATTAGAGGCAAAGATAAGTACTTTGGCCACATCATGAGAAGACAGGAAAGCTTAGAGAAGACAATGATGCTGGGGGAAATGGAAGGAAAAAGGAAGAAGAGCCAACCAAGGGCAAGATGGATGGATGGTATCCTTGAAGTGACTGGCTTGACCTTGAAGGAGTTGAGGGTGGCCACAGCTGACAGGGAGTGCTGGCGTGGGCTGGTCCATGAGGTCACAAAGAGTAGGAAGGAACAGAATGAATAAACAACAACAACGTACAATGTTAAAAAAAAATCTAAAATTCACAAAACAGTGGTACCAATGCACAAAACTGAACAGACTCTACAATGTAACAGCTAAACAGTAATATACAATTATAGGCGCATTAACAAAACAATAGGACCCAGATGAAGAGAAATAGTGGTACGAGGTCACCACTGGCAGGCTACGTTCAGGTCTTGGCCCAATTTAGGAAGGCTATCAGTGGCTCAGTGGGTTAAACCCCTGTGCCGGCAGGACTGAAGACTGACAGGTTGCAGGTTCGAATCTGGGGAGAGGTGGATGAGCTCTATCAGCTCCAACTCCTCATGCGGGGACATGAGAGAAGCCTCCCACAAGGAGGATAAAAACATCAAATCATCTGGGCATCCCCTGGGCAACATCCTTACAGATGGCCAATTCTCTCACACCAGAAGTGACTTGCAATTTCTCAAGTTGCTCCTGACACGACAAAAAAAAATCAACAAAGTGGAGCATATCCAGGAGAGGACAACAGATGTCAAAGCGGCTAGAAACAAGGTTTCTATGAGGAATAACTGAAGGAGCTATATAAGTTTGCACAATTACAATGTATGAGTCTTAAAACACTGAAAGAGTAGTCCTATATTGGCAGAGCAAGCTTATTTTTCACTGTTATAGATTTCAAATTATAAGCAAAAGCCTTAAGCTAATGAGTGAGATGAACTTCGCTAATGGTATGGATTTTTTTTTCTGGCTGCAGAACAAGCCACTGCAAAAGTCAATATACCTTCCTTTGTTAAGATGATAGAGGCCTATCAGTGGTGAGTGACAACTCTTATCAATGGATTGATGAATCCAAGCTTTAAAGTTCTCTGAAGTGCTGAATTTTATACTACTACCTTGGAGAGCTCCTTTCAATCTAACTAAAGTGTGGCATAAATTTCCTGTCTCCACTGACATGGATACTGCCAGCTGCTACTGATTACTATATAGCGGGGCTCAACAATAATTTCATGGCAAGTTCTCATTCAACACAATGATTCTAAGCTTCGAAAGGGCAACCTCCATGAGTGAAATCAATAAGTACTGTCCACAGTGGCAAGACTCTGTGTTCAGAAGGAGATCAGAAACAGTGATCAGGATGAGTGGAAAAAAGCAGAAATCTCCTGACCTTAGCAAGCATTACTAAGATCACTTCTAGAAATTGCTTGCAGTGAGTGGGATCCATCAGAGGCAAAAGGTTGTGCATTAAAGTATAGAACAGTGGAGGGTTTGATAGCTTTGGCCTTCCAGGGAGGAAATAATCCAGAGTGCTAGGTTTCCAGGTTAAGAGCAGATGCAAGGTGATTCTATTAGTTCAAAAGAGCTTATTTTCTCTTTCTGGTGAGTGTTTACACTTGCTAGTCATCCCTGGATCAGGCTTCAAGGATCTCAGAAAAGGGCTGATAATGGGAAACAAAACTGTGGCAAACAGGCAAGTGATGAAGAACCTGGTTTGAGAAGTCAGAAATGCAACTGACATTGTTGTAACCTTCAAGTTATTTTTAACTTATGGGGACCCATAAGTTAAAGTATGAAGTCCTCGTGGACAACAAGTTAAACATGAGCCAACAATTTGATGTGGTGGCTTAAAAAGGCAATGGGATTTTGGCCAGCATAAATAGGAGTCTAGTGCCTAGATCCAGGGAAGTTCCCTCTATTCTGCTTTGGTCAGAGCACACCTGGAATACTGTATCCAATTCTGGGTACTGCAATTGAAGGGAGATATCAAGAAGCTGGAATGTGTTCTGTTCAGGGGAAGGTGACTAAACTGATTAAGAGTCTGGAGAACAAGCCCTATGAGGAGCGGCTTAAAGTGCTGGGCATGTTTAGCCTGAAGAAGAGAAAGCTGAGAGAAGACATGATGAGGGCCATGTATAAATAGGAGAAGTCATAGGGAGGAGGGAGCAAGCTTGTTTTCTGCTACCTTGCAGACTAGGACGCAGAACAATGCCTTCAAAGTACAGGAAAGGAGATTCCACCTGAACATGAGGAAGAACTTCCTAACTGTCAGGGCTGTTCAGAAATGGATCTCTCTTCCCTGGAGTGTAGTGGAGGCTCCTTCTTTAGAGGCTTTTAAACAGAGACTGGATGGCCATCTGTTGGGGGTGCTTTGAATGTGATTTTCCTGCTTCTTGGAAGGGGTTGGACTGGATGGCCAACAAGATCTATGATTCTATATGGGGTTTTCTGAGGCCAAGAATGTGTGACTTCCCCAATATGGCCCAGTGGCTGAGCATGGAATCGAACACTAGCAAAAGTAATAGTCCAGTGCTCAAACCAGTTGGCTGAAAAAGACTTACAAAATAAAAATCATCATAGAAATGCATGAAGGTTTGGAGGGCACTTGGAGGATACCCTATGACCACATAAGTAGCCAATTTTACTTCTAGGTTAATAATACCACCAATCTGTAAATCTTTATGTAGGTGTATATGCATGATTTGAGTGAAATTTAGTACATGACTAATAGGAATTTCTACAAGGCTTTGTAGCCTGTCTACATATTTCATAATTTCTTTGAGACAGGGAGATTTTGTTCTAGTATAGTGTTTGCAGGATATTAATAGAAAATATCCTAACAATTCTTGGGTAGAGCTTCAATAACCATGCCCATCATTTCTGTGCAAATGGGTTACTCCACAGCACCACAATGCTACTGAACATATGGGAGGAGTCATCCTTGGCTAATCCTTTAATGCACTTTAGTACCTTTCTAATTAAAGCACACCCTGCTCCTTTAAAAAATAGTACAGGATGTTCAGTAATCTAAACATATCACTTGTTCATCAGCAGATGTGAACTTTCCTTTCGACATAAGATTGCATCTTGGATGAAAACGATTCCCTAATAGTTTTGCTTTGCTTTATGTACCATAACATATTAAATGCTAGCAAATTCTCCCCCTAAAGAAAAAAATGGCTAGAAAGTACAGGGACACGCAAGTTGTAAGCATTTAGAATACAGTTGTGGGCTAGCAGATTTCAAGTCACATATATCAAGTCACATGCATGTTCCGGGAACTCTGAATATTCTCTTTAAGAAGAGTAGCTACTACCCTTTTTTAAACTTGGGGAACAAGTTGTCAATCAGAGATGCCTTGTCAGAGACATGTTTATTCATTCAGTCATTTCCAGCACTTTGCGACTTCATGGACCAGCCCACATCAGAGCTCCCTGTTGGCTGTGGCCACCCCCAGCTCCTTCAAGGTCAAGACAGTCACTTCAATGGTACCATCCATCCATCTTGCCCTTGGTCGGCCCCTCTTCCTTTTTTCTTCCATTTTCCCCAGCATCATTATTTTCTCCAAGCTTTCCTGTCTTCTCATTATGTGGCCAAAGTATTTCATCTTTGCCCCCAATATCCTTCCCTCCAGTGAGAAGTCAGGCATTATTATATATGTCAGAGACATATAGCATCTCAATTGATCAACATACCTTTTAAGATCTTTTGATTTGTATTTTAACATACTTTTAAAATTATGTGAAGTATAAATGAGAAACCCTGATGAAAGCTCTTGCAACCTTTCCCATTTGCAATAAATCTTGCTAAATTACTAATGTCAACAGGTGCTAAAATATGCATGATTCTGAAACCACTTGCTTTTAGCATACGTAAGTTGACAATACAATTCCCTTCAGTAGTATTTCCACAAAATAACAAATGGAATTTATTGGCAGGTGTTATTTCTTCACTTTCAGCAATCGCTATCAGTGCTACCATATGCAACCATGGTTTAATACACCTTGATTTTATATTATTACAGTATTATCAACATCTGCTGCAATTTAGAGATCCCCCGGTGGAGCAGTGGGTTAAAGCACTGAGCTACTGAGCTTGTTGATCGAAAGGTCGCAGGTTCGATTCCGGGGAGCGGCGTGAGCTTCTGCTGTCAGCCCTAGCTTCTGCCAACATAGCAGTTCAAAAACATGCAAATGTGAGTAGATCAATAGGTACCGCTCCGGCGGGAAGGTAACGGCGCTCCATGCAGTCATGCCGGCCATATGACCTTGGAGGTGTCTATGGACAACGCTGGCTCTTCGGCTTAGAAATGGAGATGAGCACCACACCCTAGAGTCAGACATGACTGGACTTAATGTCAGGGGACTACCTTTACCTTTACTATACAATATACACAGATCGGTTAGAAGTGCTACTCCAAATAGTCTTCTGTAGAGTAAGAAAGCATTCCTAGAATCATGATCTGATGGGAATCCAATTTGCACTGGGACTTCACTTATTGATTTACAGCATTTATATTCCTCCCTTCTCACCCCGAAGGAGATTCAGGATGGATCACAGAACATATACTTGACAAACATTCAATGCTGTTACACAGACAGGACAGATAAAAAATAGAGGTATTTTTTCCTCCAACTTTGGCATCCTGGAGGTTGTACTCAATTTCGGCTATGAGGGGTGGGGGGTGAGCTGTTGCTCCATTCTCTATGACAAAGAGTCCTTGATCACAGACTTTCGCCATTCTTTGATAACCAGCATTTTCTGGTACTTCTTTTTTAGGGTGCTGTAAAATACCTCCCTGCTTAAATGGTGCCCACTTTCTCTACTCATAGCTCACAGCTGTTTTCAAATTGCTTAGGTGGACAGTGAGCTGGGCTGAAGGTTGGGTGCTCACCCTGACTCGGGCTTTGATCTGCCAGCCTTTTGATTGGTGTGATCTTCTTGCTGCTGGTGATTAACCAGCCCTCATGGCAGTGTTTGAATTGTAAATATTTAAAATTGATAATGTGCTTGCTTAATATACCTACTATTTCAAGCCAGACTAAACTGACTTAGTCATAATTATCCCATGTAGGTGTTCAGACATGGAAAGGATTAGGTAGGAAATCCTTGCATTTTTTCTAACAAGGTGAAAGATACATCTGCTTGGAAAAATGCTTCCTTTTGAAAGGAGCCTAATTTGAATTTCTTCCACTAAAACTAAAAGCAAAGGCTGCAATGTTTTAGTATTCCGGCACCAAAGCCTAGCTGTAGCATACCCTTGGGTTTGATGTGGATGTGCGGGACTAGGTCCCCCTGTTATGATCTGGTCATTGACTCTAATAAAATTTACTTACTAGCTGTAGCATTAATTCCAGTCCATAAGTTGCTTTGAAGCCTGGTTTCAGCCGATTAGAACACAAGATACAATATTGGTTGCTTCAATATTTTAATATTCAAATTGAAAGCATCACATCTGGGAAAATTGACATACTGAAAACAAAATAAAATGTTATCTACACAGGGATTCCCATTTCCCCAAATATACTCCTCCCCCCCCCCAAAAAAAGGTGGGGGACCAATAGAATCAGCTCTTATAAAATTAAAAGCACCGAAAAATCCCTTTCCACGCTCAAGGTGGCATTTTCTTTGGTGCTGGTGCGAGGAAACTGAGGGCCAAAAATCCAATATTAACAATCACTTGAGCAGCACATTCTTACAATGACAGCTTTTTATTTTCTACTGTCATTTTTCTAAGGCATTTCTAAAAATAAAATCTTGCTGGTGTGGAACTGGATGAGCTATTTGCCCTTATTGTTGCTGCTGCCGCTCCTTGCTAATCTGTCCCTATTTGCAAAGCAGCAGGTCCTTCCTTCAGATGTACTACTGCTACCTATGTCATAGCTGGGATTGGTGGAAGGATTTTTGAAAACTAGGTCTCCATTGCATAGATTTCTTCTCTTTCTCAGAGTTGTCAGGGACAATGACTTCAATGCGCATAATACTGAATGTGGTAGAAGAGTCATTCCCAAACTGTGGATCCTCCAGATACTGATGGACCACAACTCCCAGAATGCCTCACCACTGACCCAATTAACAGGGGCTTTGGGGAGCTGACAGGGTTGAGAACCTGTAGACTACAGTTGCCTTTTGCTAAACACCCCACTTAGAGGAATTCCAGTCACATCTGAATCCAATTTAAGGATATGAGATACTTTGATCATGTAAACCTGAAGGCAGCACAAGTAACCAGCTATAGACAAGGCTGGGATTCATTAATATTTCCTATTTGTGGACCTCCCTAAGAATTTTTACATGGAAAAGGCTGCCAGACAAAATACTTGTGGCTTTTTGAATACAATACTGATCTAGGATTAGCAGTAGGAGAGTAAGGAAGGATTAAGGGAGGGAGAACTCGTAAGAACGCTGTCAAGTGCTCCCGGGATATTGAACACAATGCTTTGGAGATGATAGCATCATTCTCAAGGATTCAAAGCAACGTCTGTTTACTTTGCAACCATGTTTAGTAGATATTTTGATTTTTAAGAGGCCATACTCTCACCAAGGTGTATTCTGAAGTCATGCAAGCTAAAATCTCTTCCTTGAAGAGAGGTTAAAGGACACCTTCGCAAAAGTATGATCAGTGTCAAAAGTACAAAGAATTATATCAAAACATGCTGGGAAGGACTACAACTTCCTGTAGATTTTTCCCTCTACGAAAGAAAATCCCACTGAGGACTGAACTATTGTTTTAGGGACCGCTTCTCAATCAAATGTCTCTGTTGGTAGCTGATGTTTCTGCTCATTTTTCAGCGAGGGAAGGCGGGCCTAAAACAACTTGAATTTCCCCATAGCAACACCAGAGTTTGGCGACATCTTTCCATAAAACCAAAGAGCAATGCCGTTTTAAGATCTCCATCCTGCCAAGCAGTTCTGCAACAAGGCCATGACAGTACATCCTCCTGGCCAGCGCACCTTCCAAAAACAATATAATAATAAAGTAATATGGGCGAGTTCTCTTCACAGTATTCTTCCATGGAAGTACTGAGGCAGTAGAGAAAGGGGCTTCATTCCAGCTTCTCTGGGAAACTCAAGGACAGAGTTATGACTTGCCTCATTTTTGCCACGGTTCTCATCGTTAATTTTGCATTTTCATCCCAGATCCCACGTATGAAGCAAAAACTCAATAATTTGAAAATATTGAAGCATTTTCAACACTAAAGTTTCCCTCATTTGCAGCTCACGTAATGCTCTGCATATGCCTACTGAAATGCAAACTGGTCATCAAAAGAACTTCTTCGCTGCTGCTTCTTGCTGAGATCTGCACAAACGCAAACAGAGAGAAATCAATTAGTTAAATGAAATGAAACGTGTTTTTATGCATTTCTTAGCTGCTTTTCAAAAGTACACCCTTCACGTGTGGCTTCAAATACCATTGCATATCAATTTTAAAAAATCATGAAATTGTGATTTTTATAAAACTGGCTTAACCCAGTAGCAAAAATTGAATGCAAAAATCAAATGCAAAAATCGAAACTGAACAAACCCTGTGCTGTCGCACACTGGGCCTGTGCATAAGACTGTGCATAAATTCTGTGTGCCTAATGGGACGCCGGGGCTGCCTCAGATTAAAGGCCTTTGGATTTCCTTAAAAAAGAGTCTTTAGATTGCTTAAAGGTTCAACAAAGTTCTTTATTAATGAAAACAAACAGGTACTTTAAGGCTTTCTTAATAGTCTATTGGCTCTCTCTCAATCTTGTCCACAGGGAACAGGCACTATCTTCATAACTGTAACTAATGGGGAAATCCTTAACTTCTAATCTGGGCAGTCTGTACTTGCCTCTGTTGGTGTGGAGCCCCTGCACCCGGTACCAACTACTTCTGGCTTCCGCGAGTGACCCCTATCAAGCAGAGCTTTGTAGACTTCCAGGGGGAAAAGAACTCAGGTTTCCGTGATGGCTGACTGAAGTCCTTCAGCAAAGGAGCTGTAGGGCTGTATAACACCGGCTAAGCCGTAGAAGACGAAGCTTTCTACAGGAGCTCTTGGTTTTATGTCCTGTGTGAAAGGCTTCTCTGTGTGGACTGAAACCAAAATGGCTTCTATTCCCTCTAAAACCCAAAAAGGGAGCGGGACCAGGGAACCTAACTAAACTGACAGGTGGTTTGCCCTATGATTGCAGCCAAAAGAAGCCACCTATCTGCAGAGTCCCTGAGACTTAGGACTACAACAAGCATTCAATGCAAAGCAAACAAAATTGGAGCTTCTGGTACAGCTTCTGCACAACCCCTTTTTAAAAACAGTCAGCTGTATCTCTCTTGGAAGGGAGCGCCTCTCAAGAGAGGAGATACTTTGTCCAGTTCTGGGCACCACAATTCAAGAAGGAAGGTTGACTCAATTGGGAAAGGGCCTGGAAACCATGAATCCCTATGAAGAGCAGCTTAGGGAGCAGGGCACATTTAGTCTGGAAAAGAGAAATCTAAGGGGGCCAGGTTGAGAAACAGTGCTGTAGAGCAGGGCTTATTAGATTTTACCATTTGTGATCCTTTTTAGCCTAAGGCATTAACTGATAATAAATAAACACTTGCAAGGCTCACTAAACAGGTTGGTTTTTCTTTTTATGAAGTACAACTGAAGCATCTTCTACAGAGACCACTGTAAACACTGCACAACAGGTTCGTGTAAATAACTAAAGCAGCCACGAGGTTGCCAAATTTTGGGACACCAACATTATGCTAAAACCCCACTTGAGGTCTGGACCCCCAGTTTAAGCAGCAGTGCTCTAGAGAACAAGGGGACATTTTCATCAAGGGGAGGGGGGCCTTCCTGGGTCAGTATACTTTGGCAACTGGCCTCACTTGTTGCAGAAGGATGAGAAATGTGTTTTCTTTTCATTACAGATGTTCTCAAATTGTGTTTTAAATTGGCAATGCTGTATACCATGCAGCTGTAGACAAGTCTACATCGGGCCCACCAAACACAGCACCTAAACACGAATCAAGGAACATGAAAGGCACTGCAGACTAAGTCAGCCATAGCAGAGCAACCGATGAACCAACATGGGCACAGAATTTTATTTGAGAACACAGAAATGCTGGACCACCATGTCAGACTACAAGAGAAGCCACTGAAATCCGCAAGCATGTGGACTATTTCAACAGAAAGGAGGAAACCATGAAAATGAACAAAATCTGGCAACCCGTATTTAAAAAACTCTAAAATCAGGATAGTAAATAAAAAGCAACACTCAAAAAGCAGGGGAATTCCAGACAAGAATCAGTCAGGGCCACCTAACACTTCCCAACAAAGGACCCCCCCCCCCCCAGGCAGGAAGCAGCCCGGCTTTGAAGCTGCAAGGCCATTCAATGCTAATCAAGATGGCCAATTGCAGCATTCTTGCCTCCTGGGTCCACACTTGCCTCAAGCAGACAAAAGTTCTTTCTCCCACCCTGGACATTCCACAGATATATAAACCCCACTTGCCTAGCTTTCAACAGACCCCTCAACCTCTGAGGATGCTTGCCGTAGATGTGAGCGAAATGTTAGGGGAGAATGCTTCTGGAACATGGCCATACAGCCCAGAAATTCACAGCAACCCAATGCTGTTATCTCTGCTATGCTTTAACTGTATTTATTCTGTTAGATTGTGAGTCATCTTCAGTCCCATTCTTAAAAGAAAGACAGAACATGAATTGAACAAATGAATTAATAATTGATGACGAGACGAATCAGTATTCCTTCAGTGACTAAAAAACTCACTATTTTTACATCCACTGTAATGTTATTTTAAGTTTCTCTGCACCTGTTGATGCCACTTTCTGGAGCATTGTTTCATACTTGTGGGCCACTAATTCAATTCAGCTATCACACTATGGGGTGTGTGTGTACATGCATCTTCAAATTCCCTTATTGTTGACAAATGGTGACTCCATGAATTCCGTAGGGTTTCCTATGCAAGGAATAACTCAGAAGTGCTTTGCAAAAACATTCACAATAGCTGCTTACCTATACATGATGTAACCAATGAACAATAATGTTTGGACTGCTACAAATACAAAGAAGTGTGTCGTAGATAAACAAGATGGAAACTGTGGCAGCTCTGGACATTTGGGCTTTTCATTTGATGGCTACAAAACAAGACAGCAGAAATTATTTTTCAGCAGGAAGAAACCCAGTACGCATTTCTTTAGCGTTATTTATAGTGTACTTCCATATAAGAGAACGCAAGACACAATCTGATAGTGGAATACATGCAATAATACAGCAGAAAGAGAGCCAAAAGGTAAATCTGGACAACACAACAGAACACTGACCCCCAATTTTGGAAGCTCCCCTGCCAGAATGTAAGGGAGCATGTGTTGCCCTCTAAAGGCAAAATCCAGAAGGGCTCTGAATACATCATTTGCCCACCTCCCAGAACACAGACATGTCAATTCCACCCTTTTCCCTGCAGATGGTTTCATTAAAAGGCCTTGGAGAATTCCATGACATAGGGCTGGCATGGGCAAGCTTTGACCCTCCAGGTGTTTTGGACTAACTCCCACAATTCCTAACAGCCAGTAGGCTGTTAGGAATTGTGGGAATTGAAGTCCAAAACACTGGAAGGTCAAAGTTTGCACATGCTTGACATTGGGAGACTGTAGAGCTGCAGATTCTACCTTTCACAAAGTTTCTGGCACTTCAAGGTGTTATTTGGCAGTATGGATAAGGAAGAGAAGAACACAAGTCTGCAACCTCTTGCTTACATCAAGAAATCAGGGAGCCTTTTGACACTATAAAATTATAGTGCAAATTGCTTTATATCATCTGGACAGATGAGATTTGTAGTTTAGAGAGGGACATTTAGCATTCTCATCCAGAGAGCTCTGTGTCTCACCAAATACAAACCCCAGGATTCTATGGGATGCAGATGCAGTAGTTGAAGTGGAATCATAGAGCATGTAATGTGAAAGCGTGCAGTATAAAAGGATTCCAGGAGATGTAAAGTGACTACATGAAGGTAGTCCTCACTGTTTCCGCTCAACTCCCTAGCTCTTTAACTTTATGGGAAGACACACTTGCATGTTATGTGGTTTATTTTGGTCCTCTCATGGACTGGGTGGCCCATGAGAGCTCTTCCAGCTATAATTCCTAAACAAGTCTATTGCCCTCGCAATAAAAAACACCAGTACTGAGTTAGGATCCAAAACGTATTCCTCTTATTGAAAGCTGATGGTGTGTGTGTGTGTGTGTGTTGGGGGGGGGGGGGGGAATTCCATCTCTTAATAGCAAATTGTGTTGGAACAACCCAGCAGCAACCCTTCTGTATTTCAAGAGAGTTTTTCCTTCCTTTTCTAAGTTACTGATGTGAAACAAATGTGAGCAACGCTGCCTACCCTGGAGTTGATTTGCAAGACTAAAAGACTGGTTCAACCATGAGGTTAAAGTGCAGCACATTATGATGCTCCATCCTGCTCATATTGCTGATATTGCTTCCTGCACACATGCTAACTGGCAATGCTATCATGCACCAGGTCAGTAGTACAGAAATCACTCAGCAGTAAAAATGAACAATTGTCCCCAACTGGAGTTTCCATTTCTTTGCAGGTGAAGTGTATACATTTAGATCTGGAGTGTGTGGAGACCTAGCTACCCATAAAAGTAACAACCATGCAGCTCTGATCCATTTGCTCTGCACATGTTTTGACACCTATTCCCAAGGATGCAGGAGTCCCTGAATGACAGCGTGTGGACTCACTGAACTGCTTGAACATTAGACACAGAAAACAGTACCACGTTTCTCTGGACTAGATGTTCGATGTCCCTCTTTACGACGTGAAGATGATCCTTGATGTCATTGAAGTGCTGGGTTGTTTCATAGATGCCACCAACTGACCCAGCATGCTGAATACCATTGACTTGCTTTAGGGCTTCTCCTATGGAATTCCTGGAAGGAAAGAAAGAAAAACCAGTTCTCAGCACCAGCAACTCTTGGCTGCCTCAATCTTTTATTTGTAGGTCTCCTTAAGTCAATCTGAAAGGTCCTCAAGTCTCTCAAAGACTGGAGAATAGACACCATTGGTTGTTTGTGCTCCAAAATTAAGAGGACCCATGGGTTCAAAGAAAAATGAGAAGAGATCTAGGAAAAGTGTTTTGACATCAGTATAAAAACATAATGCACCCTGCTTAAATTGTCCCTTTAGGATTCTCAGTTGAGAGCAGTAGGTTCTCCAAATGTTGCTAGACTTTAAATCTCATCAGCTCTAGCCAGCATAGTCAATAGTGCACTAAGTAAGAGCAGCCAGCAAGAAATATAAATTGCCATTCCTAACTTGGAGGGACGAAGATTTACAGGATCCATTTATCCATGCTTCATTGCACAGGGATACCAGAAACAAAGGATTCCCCCAGGCAGCAATCAGCCAGACTTTGAAGCTGCAAGTCTAGTAAATGCTAATCAAAGTGGCCAATTGCAACATTCACACTTGCCTCAAGCAGACAAAAGTTCTTTCTCCTACCCTGGACATTCCACAGATATATAAATCCCACTTTCCTCATTTTCAACAGAACTCACAATCTCTGAGGATGCCTGCCATAGATGTGGGTGAAATGTCAGGAGAGAATGCTTCTGGAACATGGCCATACAGCCCAGAAAACTCACAGCAACCCAGTGATTCTGGTCATGAAAGCCTTCGACAACACATACCACAGTATACCTCTGTATCTCAGTTGCAGGAAATTACTTTCAGGAGGACTCTCTCTTAGATCTATCCTGCTTGTAGTTTCCCCATAAGCCTCTAAGTGGACAGAATTGCTGGGCTAGATCGGCCTTTGGTCAGATTAAGTTGGTCTCTCCTTCTGTCTTACACTTGATACTATTTCATTCAAAGCACCAATTAAAAAGGTGAATCAACCAATGTCCCGTAAACTATGATCACTGAGTTTTGAAAATTGGTCCAAGACCTGCCTCACACAAAGGCATAGGTATAAACGTTCCCAGTCCTGACTTGCAGCCAACTACATCTCTCCAGCATAGCTTTCTCCTGCATGTCTGAAGAATGCTACCAAAGAGAAAACCGTTCCAACAGGATCGCTATTACTTTGAAAACCATGCCTTTCAAATAGAGACAACACACTTTCCAGGGATATAGTCCGAATGGAACAAATTTAACCACATTGTTCTATTTGATTTGGCAAATTATTTCAGCTCTCACAAGCCAATCTACTTTTTGTGTCTTCAAAAGTAAGTCCCTGTATAAGACTGGAGTCTTAATCCCTCTCTAAGCACACAATTCTACTCTTTTTAAAAAAATAAGCAGATGAATGAATTGAATGATTTGAATCCAAATCTTCCAAAGCTTTAAATAATATCATAATTTGAAAGAAACTGAAATCTCCTTCAAGACAGCAAAACAACAACCTCGTTGTGCTTTAGGGATAACTGAAGACTTAAGACCTATGGCTCACGATTACCTTTGACATGACAAATTCATTTCCTGCAGGCATCAAGGCAATGCAGAGTATTATCCTGGCATAAACTCCTTTCCGCTCTTACAGAAAAGAAAATTAAAGCCATAAAAAGTGCACACATTGTAACCGGTGATATTACAAATCTAAACTGATTGGATAATGGAACCAAGCATGGCCCTTAATCAATATGTTCTCATAATTTTCTCTTGTTCTGATGCCTCTTCCCAGTTGCAAAGAGGATTAGTTGAATATCAACATCTGACTTTAATCCCTTCTCCGTTAACAGAATAATCAATGCCCGTGTTCCAAATTTAGTTCAAACTTTCTTTGGACAAAGGTGGTTTAACTGCAACTCTTTGTTTACTTCCTTTGTCCACAATCTTCACCAAAGCTCCTTATTCAACCATATAATAATCATAATTGCAACATTTAAGTAACGAAAATACATTCAATCACTGAAGACCAAAAACATAACACAGTAGGCATTCTAAAGATATTGCTCCATAATACTTATAATCCAAAAAGGTGGCCCAAATCCAGTTGCTAATTCCAAGCAAAGTAAGCCCATTGGATCAGTAAGTATTGACTTACTCTTTAACAATTGATTTTATATTTCTACTCTAACTAGAACTACCTGTTGGATTTAAGTCAGAGGCTTTATTTGTACACAAAGATGGAAGGTTTCTTAGAAAACAAAATTGTATGAAAAATGCACATAAAATTGATGAAATGTGGTTCTTAAACCATCCCAAAAAATCAAGATGTTAACTTTAGGGGAAATTATGTTGTAACGGCCCAGATTAAATTACCTGCTTCCGTCTTTTATCTCGCCCAACTTTTTAATTAGTTTTAATTACTTTTAATCAGTTTGTCCTCTTGATTACTACATGTTGCCCGCCCATTATTATTGTGCCTTTATTTTTCATATTGTTAGGTATTCATGTGTTTTATTTAACTATGATGTTATTGTTTATTGTTCGCGTTTTCAGTTTGTGTTTTTGGTTTTCTTTATTGTAATTGTCATTTGGGCTTGGCCTCATGTAAGCTGCTCCGAATCCCATTGGGGAGATGGTGGCGGGGTAACAAATAAAGATTATTATTATTATTATTATTATTAGTCAGTGATCAAAGTTCAAAATGTACTGAAATCAAAATTACGTTTTCGTCTTCCCTGTTTAATAGATAGTGTTTAATAGTCATAGGCCCGGTATCTGTATCATTCGTTTGATTCGTGTTTTCGTTTCGTTCCATCCATTGAATGGCACAGAAAGGGAAGGGCCCTCCTGGAAAGAAAATAAACTTGATACGAAGGCAGGCGGGAGCGGGTACCGGCTCCAAGCCTGCTTTTGGGATCGATTGCCATGCGCGTAGGCCCAAATCGCCCGGGTCTGCCAGGGCCACCTTACTCAGCGCTTGGCTGCAGGCCCTGGCAAGCCCAGGCTCTTTGGGCCTCTGCTTAGGGTTGTGGAGCAAGGTCATGGGCAGCAAAGATGATGAGTCTTCATTCCCAGTCAGGGAGCCCTTCAACTCCCCAGATGAAGATGAGGCAAATCCTGGGAGGAGGAGCCTGGGTGGGGAGCCCCCACCCCCAATAATGGGCTGAAAGAAAACATTTCTTTCGGCACCCAAAAACCAAAAACAAATCTCTGCCCTCCTGATTTTGTAAGGTTCAGTAGAAAAGGATTGGGGGCCCCACTGAAAGCTGAATTCAAGGTTTACCCTGAATGCACACGATTAGTGTTTAACTGTCATTATATACAAATCAGGAAATATTTAATTTGTTTGTTTTTAATGACTATTAAAAAATTAATGCTACTGTTTTAACTCTGTATTTATGGTTTTATACTGTGTTACTGATTTTGGCATCGAATTGCTGTCTTTGTTAGCCGCTCTGAGCATCGTCGCACCCCCCCCCTCGGGGGTTGAGAAGGGTGGGGTAAAAATGCTGTAAATAAATAAATAAAATTACCTGTTTGCAAGGAATAACATAATTATATATATCATCAATTAGAGTAAATAAAAAGTCAATTAAAAAGGCTAATCTCTTTAAAATACTACTATTTGATACAAATAAAAAACCCACAAGTTTTAAAGACAATAACAGTTTATAAGAGGGCACTGGGGTTCAATAAAGCTCTTTTTAAAAGAGACGCAGTCCAACCTCCTCGAGTTGACTACATCAGTCAGAAGTCTATTCTTATAAAGCGATTAGGAAACATCTTGACATGGAAAATTACATAGACATTAAGTCTCTTCCTTCCAGGGTTGACCCAAAAGACGGAGGGATGTTCATTTGTTTTTGTTATTTTTTTTATCCACTACAAGACATTCTTTAATCTCAAGATGAAAATATTAAGATGATGTTATGCAAAAGCTTCCTTAATAAGTAGTCACTAAAAGGGCAGGCTTCTGATATTAACAATGAAATCTAATTTACTTTTCCACTACAAAGATTTGTGAAGAATATTAAAACGAAAGCTGTCTCCAAAGAACATGGGTGAAAATAGAAGTACATTCCATAATCTTTAGTCTATAAAAGCTGACCTACTTAGGTACACTGAAGGAGCTGTCCTCGAACTATTAATATTGGTAAACACCACAGTCCAGAACCATTATACAAAGACCCCAAGACACAACACTGCAAGGTTTAGTGCTGTTCAAGACCACAAATGAATATGAGGAGGACACAAGAAACTCACACACATTCTAAGATCTTCCCATAAGGTCCCCATTAATATAGAAATTAGAAAAAAATGAAGGTGCTTACACCCATCTACAAGGGATTTGCACCCACAAGAAATACATCTAGCAGGAAGAAAGGAAATACGGCCTACTGATTTAAACTCCAAAATGATCTGAATCTAATTCTGTACAAGTATAAGACACATATGCAAGACTGAACTATGCAGTGCAAATAAAGTAGCTAGAATGGATATTGATCCTCATTCCAAACTCTCTTTTAAGATGTTCCACAGTCAACCGTAATTCTACTAACAAGTCTGGTGGTTTTGAAGGTTTACACTTGATAACTTTTACTGCATCACAAAAAAAACCCTTACCTGACCTTTGTTTACCCCACTGTAGTGTGAAACAAGTATTTTTAGGCATTACCAGTACACTGTAAATAGATTTTACTTGATTGCTTGACTAGGATATGGATTAAAAGATAAGGAATCTTAAATCAAGAAGATTAAAAAACTTGAAGTATTTTTTAAACAATAACTAAAGGATAATAAGGCTCCAAGAATAAGGAAGAATTATAATGAGGAATGCTATTTTAAAAATCCTCCGTTATTCTTTTGTTATCTATATAATTCATAACAACAATAGGATCAATGTGTTGTCGAAGGCTTTCATGGCCAGAATCACTGGGTTGCTGTGAGTTTTCAGGGCTGTATGGACATGTTCCAGAAGCATTCTCTCCTGACGTTTCACCCACATCTATGCATCTTCAGAGGTTGAGGGGTCTGTTGGAAACTATGGAGACCAAAATCCACTGATAGTGGTGATATGAAAATAACTAGATTAACTCAATGTATACATTGAGTTAATCTAGTTATTTTCATATCACCACTATCAGTGGATTTTGGTCTCCACAGTTTCAGGGGAACCCATTTTTCTTTTTTGTCTGTTGGAAACTAGGCAGAGTAAGTTTATATATCTGTGTAATGTCCAGGGTGGGAGAAAGAACTCTTGTCTGCTTGAGGCAAGTGTGAATGTTGCAACTGGCCACCTTGATTAGCATTTAATGGCCTTGCAGCTTCAAAGCCTGGCTGATTGGTACCTCAGGGGATCCTTTGTTTGGAGGTGTAGGCTGGCCCTGATTGATTTATGTCTGGAATTGTCCTCATTTTTGAGTGTTACTCTTTATTTACTGTCCTGATGTTAGAGGGGTTTTTTTTCTTCAGAAAACCTGCACACACAAATAGATATGTACATAAATACTCCAATGATCATCCATGTTAAAAAAAAAAAAAAGCACAACTAAAGCCCTGGCAAACCATGCAAAAAAATAATCTGTGAACCTCATCTCCTCCAAGGTGAACTGAACCACCTAAATCACCACAGACATCAGAAGGGCTGCAAGACCAAGAACAAGCCACAGGAGTAAAGATTTACCCAGAGGAAAAGTGTTCTTGCCATACATCAAGGGAACCACAGACCACATAGGGAAGCTGATGAAGAAACACAACCTACAAACTATCTACAGATCCAGTAAGAAAATCCAACAAATGCTACATTAAGCAAAGGACAAGAAGGATCCTCTCACCTCTGCAGGAGTCTACCATATACCATGCAGCTGTGGAGAAGTTTACATAGGGACCACCAAACGCAGCAGCATTGCCCAAACACAAATCAAGGAACATGAAAGGCACTGCAGACTACTTCAACCAGAGAAATCAGCCATAGCAGACCACCTGATGAACCAACCTTGACACAGCAAATTATCTGAGAACACAGAAATGCTGGACCACTCTGACAACCACAATGTCAGACTACACAGAGAAGCCACTGAAATCCACACGAATGTGGACAATTTCAACAGAAAAGTGGAAACCATGAAAATGAACAAAATCTGGCCTCCAGTTAAAAAAACCCTCTAAAATGAGGACAGTAAATAAAGAACGACACTCAAAAAACAGGGGAATTCCAGACATGAATCAATCAGGGCCAGGTAACACCTCCAAACAAAGGAGTCCCCCATGCAGCAATCAGCCAGGCTTTGAAGCTACAAGACCATCAAATGCTAATCAAGGTGGCCAATTGCAAAATTCGCACTTGCTTCAAGCAGACAAAAAATCTTTCTCCCACCCTGGGCATTCCACAGACATATAAATCCCACTTGTCTACTTTCCAACAGACCTCACAACTTCTGAGGATGCCTGCCATACATGTGGATGAAACGTCAGGAGAGAGTGCTTCTGGAACATGGCCATACAGCCTGGAAAACTCACAGCAACCCAATAGTATCTATATCGCACAATAGGAAATCAGAATTAACTTGGCTATTATGCCCTTTTTCACAAAGCTGCTCTTACTTCATTTCACCAACTTGTTTTAGGACCTCCTCTTGAGTCTTCACAAAAATGTCAATTCCTTGCTGAGAGACCTTCAATAATAAAAACAAACAAACACACTCCATCAATAGTCTTGCTGAAGAATGTCAAGGAAAAGAATTGTGACACCAGTGGGGAAGACACACATATCAGGGAGTGTGTTTCACTACCTGCCCTGGAACACCAGTCGCTCTTTTGGAAATTTCATCTGTTAATGAAGAGACGTATCTTCTCTGCTCATCCAGAATCATATTTAATTGTCTGTTGAGTTGCTTTATTTCAAGGTGTATTCGGTTTTGACCTTCGAAGATTTGCCTTAGTTCACGATCACTGACTGTCTCAAAAAGATCTTCCGCTAAGAATAACAATAAAAAGGACTTTCCAGTTATATCCTCTCGATTGGACACCACTCAATTACCCATATGGCTAACTATTTCCTATTTAAACATTTGAATACTTACAGCTATACTTCTAACTGACCATCCACCACATTAATTGGTGTTCCCAAGAATGCAGGACAATACAGAAGAATGAACAAAGGATATTACCAGGGACACAAACACCTATATTAGACTGTTCATCTAACAGCCCATTCTTATACTGCTCTCAAGACAGGCATTGTCCCCCATTCTGTATCTTTCCACTTAGGCAGAAAAAAACAAAATGCAAAGATACAGAATGGGGGACAATGCCTGTCTCAAGACCAGTACGTGTGAAAAAGATCTTGGAGTCCTCGTGGACAACAAGTTAAACATGAGCCAACAATGTGATGTGGCGGCAAAAAAAGCCAATGGGATTTTGGCCTGCATCAATAGGAGCATAGTGTCTAGATCTAGGGAAGTAATGCTACCTCTCTATTCTGCTTTGGTTAGACCATCTGGAATATTGTGTCCAATTCTGGGCACCACAATTCAAGAGAGATATTGACAAGCTGGAATGTGTCCAGAGGAGGGCGACTAAAATGATCAAGGGTCTGGAGAACAAGCCCTATGAGGAGCGGCTTAAGGAACTGGGCATGTTTAGCCTGAAGAAGAGAAGGCTGAGAGGAGATATGATAGCCATGTATAAATATGTGAGAGGAAGCCACAGGGAGGAGGGAGCAAGCTTGTTTTCTGCTTGCATGGAGATTAGGATGCGGAACAATGGCTTCAAACTACAAGAGAGGAGATTCCATCTGAACATGAGGAAGAACTTCCTGACTGTGAGAGCCGTTCAGCAGTGGAACTCTCTGCCCAGAGTGTGGTGGAGGCTCCTTCTTTGGAAGCTTTTAAACAGAGGCTGGATGGCCATCTGTCAGGGGTGATTTGAATGCAATATTCCTGCTTCTTGGCAGGGGGTTGGACTGGATGGCCCAGGAGGTCTCTTCCAACTCTTTGATTCTATGATTCTATCCAGAAATAGCATTTGAGACAATGGATGGGGAGATAACCAGACATTTGTGATACTGCTGCACAATCAGCTACATAAATGAAGAGTCCAAAAGGATCTTGCTGGGAAATATTCATACTAAACTAAAACTGTATAGGAACTTAACATTCAAGTTAGCATCTTGGTATTGATAACAAAGACTCATGTTCATTCAGTATCAAATAAAGATGAATGTAACACTAGGAAAGCAAATCTGCAAACTGAGTTATGCCTTCCAAGCCCATCGCTCAGCCACTTACCGGGATGCCCTTCCATGTCAGGATGCTCCTTCTGAAATTCCTCCTTCTTTTTGTCCAGCTCTTGCTGGAAATGCTCAAACTCTTCTTGATACTTCTCCTTGTCCTTGTCAGGAATTTCTGCATCAGGTGGAGGCTTCAAAACCAATTTGAAAGGTAATTATTTGAAAGGGAATTATTTAATCACAAAGCCTAAAATATGATGTTGCTTTTATTGCTTTTGTGATGTCTTATACTGTATAATGTTTTTTATCTATTATGTTTTATGTATACTGATTTGTTGGAAACCGCCTTGAGTCGCCAACTGGCTGAGAAAGGCGGTATACAAATGCAGTAAATAAATAATAAAATAAATAAATAAAAGCTTATTAACACTTAAAAAAACAACATTTCTGCACTGGGATATACCCTACTGATATCTAGAAGTAGAGTTGGGCAATAAATCTTCATACAGGCAGGATCAAATGAGAGCATTAAACACTCAATGATTATTTGCTGCTTCCTCCACTGCTGTCCTAAGCCATTTTTCTAAGGGTCTTCAATTACACCAGTGCCCATCTTGAGCTGTATTCAGGTAAGTCAGGCTTAGTTAGTGGTTGAATTTATGATCACTGGAAGGTAGCCCTTCCCACCACCTTTGCCCTTTTCCTACCACTGTTGCCATCATGTCTACACTGGTTCTCTCCTATTTGCAACTGAAACAGAATAACGAATTATAACGAAAGTTTTGTCTATGTTTATTACTATGTTTATATGAGAAAGGCAGGCAGAGGTGGAGGCATATGATTGATGCTTTGCCATGGTTGTGAAGCCTCTGCAATAGAAATGTATCCATTTTAGAGTGGCTAAAGACATAAAATATACTGTTCTGAAAGTTATATAGTAATCGTTTGATATATTCACAAGAATAAAAAAAAAGTAACAATATTCAAGTGGAACTGAAGAAAAGTGCTGTGTAACAAATACACTTATGTACACAAGAATTCATAAATAAACATTTCTTTGTTTCATCTAATATACTGGAGTCTCGTGTCAAGTTACAAGGTTGAAGATACATTCCTAAAAGCCAGCTGAAGAATATATTAAAGCTACATACTGACTACAGTATTGGTTATACAACAGACATATTCAGACACCAAGTAGCTGAGTTTCTGAGGTTTATTCTTCTTTAACCCCTATGCCAAAAGCATTGCCTTGGCGCCTACGTACACATATAATTTTACTAGTGGCAGAAGGTGGCATGTTAAAAAAAAAAAAGAAGTTCCCCTTCCTGCCACACGTATATATCTCCAAAGCATCCCTTCTCTTTTCTGCTTACCACTTATGTGAGTGCACAATGGAACACAAACACAGCCAGATACATTTTGTGTGCATTAAATAAAGGGGGTGATGCTAGAGATATAAATGTTTTTCCAATTTTATGGGAGTGCTGTGCCCCTTGCCCCTATGGAATTGTGATGTAATACCTATAGGGTCAACCATATAGGTATTACAACACAATTAGTACAAAAAGTTAATGCTCACTGAGAAGAGAAAACCTTTTTACTTATTAGCATGTAATTCTATAATGCATAGGGAAAACCTTTCTTTCCACAAACCCCTGGTGAGTAAGTGTATTTCAAGTAATTGCAATTATCTAAAAGGGTGCCTACCGCTTCTTTGCCAGGCTCCGTCAGCTGAAAAGTCAGGAAAGACAAGACATCATGGTCATCTGGATAAAAATCCCAAACAGATCAAGTTATGAGTTCTTCTCATCTTATCACAGTAAAAGGGCTTACCAATATAAAAACAAGTATGTTTTCATCAAGTCAACAATGTGATCACCCTCTGACTGTTACACTTGACAACTGTTTGGAGGCATCAATGTGTATATGTCCTGCAAGACTTATAAGGTGATGGGTCAAGTGCTAGGATGCCTGAGGACCTTTGCATCTTGGCATCGTCACTTTTTCAATTTTTAAAATATATTGCTATGAAAACCTGATATTTAATAAATATCTAGCAGATCAGAGGGCTGCAACAGCTCTCTTGTTTTTCCCAACTGTCTTTGGGTTCTCATCCTCAATGCAGCCAGATAGGCGGATGCTACAGTGGGGCCAGAAACACCCAAGCATCAGATGGGAAAGAAGGTGTCAAGGAGAGTTGGGCCCGAATCACTCTTAACGAAAAGATCTGTAGTTTTCAGAGGGCCATTTTCATGTAATTTCCGAAAACAGAAAGGGGAAGAGAGACGAAAAAAATCAGTGAAACAATTTTAGAGAGACTATGTTATTCAGAAAGGGTTAAGTCCACAAAACATGTGAGGCAGGGAGATCTATGGCATGTTTTTCTCTCCCTGTCAGAAGCAGACTCCGACAATTTTTTTTCTTGGAAAGCTACCTCCTCCTCCAGAGAGGGCCCTTAGAACTCACTTTCCCAGTGGCGCTAGCATAGGGTGGCCACTGAAAGTTCCTCCTGGAGCATGACGGGAGTTGAAGTTTTTCTCTCTGTGTGTCTCTTAGTCAATAAAAAGCCTGGTGGTGTCCATGCTCTGACTGGCTGAGAGTGGATACAACAGGCAACTACAATTCCCAGAACCCTCTCTTGCGGTTTATCTTATTGTTTAAAACTTTTGGGTAACTTTCTGGTAAATGAAATGAGGGTCAGATGGAAATGGACACAAAAACAGTATGCCTTTTGGCCTCAAAACACATGACTTGTGTCAAGGTAACCATCTACAGGGTGCAGTAGGATGGGGTTATGACACCAACAATAAGACACTGAATAAACTAGCAGTGCTTATTTGCTATAGCCAGCAAAAACTGGAGTGAAGGAGATCAGTTTAAGGCAATAGATATTTTAGCTATTGCCAGGAGCTTAGTCCCGTTAGTCTATTTCAACAAAGTCAAAAGACTTGTTGGCAAGTTCACTTGGCATAATCGTTTGTGAACTGCAGCCTCCTATTCCTCTTAAATCAGCTCACAATCCACAAAATCTAATGCCAAATAATTCTTGTTTGACTTTAAGGTGTCATAAGGTTCTTGGTTGTTTAAGAAGGGATTACACAATACATGTTCAGATTTACTAGATGCTGTAGAGTAGTTGGAAATATCTTCTCCACATGGTTAGAATCTGCTGTTAGGAGTTCACTGCACTTTCAAAGGCAAGCACAGACCCCAAACATAGCCTGTTGCGCTTTGGATCCCCACTATGATGTTTACTATGAATTCCTGTCGCTCTGAACTGTGTCTTCTTACCAGCAGGGCTGTTGGAATAATAATAGGCAACATGGCTGGTTTCCAAAGAATGACAAGCTCTGTGCATCCAAGAGAGCTCCACGTTTACGTTTCCTCATCTCGCTCTTTTACCCCAATGTGGTAGGCAGCCATGTTGTTCCAGAGCCCTCAAGAACAATTTGCCTTATCATTAGGGAAATAAGCAAATCTGCTATACAAGGAACAAATACCACTAGGAATAGTCAATTCTCTGAATTCATTTAAGATCCCAACATGACAAAGGGATGCCTCTAGTTAGTAGTAACACCAGCTCAAAAGTAGTCACGTTAACACAGCAATGCTCCATAAATGAAGGACAGCACCCCGCCATGCTGAAGTCGATAAAGCCCAGCACTACATTGTACACATTCTTCCTGAGACCAAAACCACTGATTTTATTCTCTTCCTTCTTGAAGAGCGGTTCATAACAAAGGAATACGTTGTCTCTTAAAACAGCACCAATTGCACAAGTGCCAAGAACCATACAGGCATTCAACTGGAAGGAAATAGCCAGTCCAACAACTTCAACTTGTACATCCTGTACTCTTAACCCCTTCCAAAGACCTTATTTGTTAGTGCCAGTCATAGCTGCTGATTCTGCAGTTGGTGAATTTGCAAGTATTTCATGTTGTATCAAGGACAAAAATCATGCCTTACAAAATAAGGATAGGTTTAGCTTTAGTATTAAAATCACCTGCAAGACCACCAGTTGCTGCCGAGATTCCAAAATATCCCTGAGGTGGCAGAACCATACTTTCTACTTTGGCACAAAATTCATAATCTTCTTTGTCTGGAGTGAAGCCATTGTTTATCAATACCTATGAAAAGAGACACAAAGATATAAATCTGCGTTACAAAGACCTAGGTCGAGTCTACACTGTTGCATAATGCAGTTTCAGAGTGCAGATTACCTACATTTAACTGGATATGAGTCTACAGTGCCATATAATCCAGATCAATGAACTTAATCTACATTCTGAAACTGTATCACGTTAGCTGCCCCGAGTCCCCTTTGGAGAGATGGTGGTGGATTATAAATAAAGATTATTATTATTATTATTATTACTACTACTACTACTACTACTACTACTACTACTATTTGAAACACAACAAAATGAGTCCACAGCAGACACTCTTTGGGCTGTTGAATTGGATCACACATCAGACACTTCCCAAGTGTCTAGGACTGTGTGATGTATTGGCGAATGATGTGTACAGATCCCAGTAAGGTGGCCTTCTGCAGGTGGCATATGGTAATTTTGTCAGCGCCGATTGTGTTTAAGTGCAGGCCAAGGACTTTAGGCACTTCACTCAGTGTGCCGATCACCACTGGGACCACCTTTACTGGCTTGTGCCAGAGTCTTTGCAGTTCAATCTTTAAATCCTATTATTATTATTATTATTATTATTATTATTATTATTATTATTATTATTATTATATGGCAGTGTAGATCCAGCCTTAGTACTTCTCACCTTGCTCAGCAACCTCTCCAGCAATGCTTCTGGAATATACTGCCATATAATTCAGAACAATGCACATAATCTGCATTCTGAAACTGTATTACATGGCACTGTAGATCCAGCCTGAAGCCAACTTTGTACCTAGGCCTAAGAGAAAAGTGGTATACAAGTGAAGTAAATAAATAAAAAATACTTGCCGTCAGTGTCTTTTGATAGTACGTGATCTTTGCTCGGACTGGATAAGGCTTGTTACGAAAATCTCTTTGACAGGATGCCAAAGCTTGTGTGGAACCATCACTTTAAGAGGGAGGACATAGAAATAAAAAGTCAAGGTTAGAAAACTACAATAAACAAGTCTTGAACAACGTCACAAAACTAGAACAAAAGGACAGGCAAAGAAAGTTAAACCACAGATGATGATGATGATGATAATAATAGTAATAACTGTATTTATAACCCACCCTTTCTCCTCGAAAGGACTCAAGCCTTTGGTCATTCGGACAACTAACTTAAGGATCTAACGATAGACAAGGACAAATGGAATGGAATGGATATATGGACTCTGAACCCTGAGCATGAGATTGTTTTATTATTTTATTATGTATTATGTTTTAATTTAACTGTTGAATTGTTTTGTATTTTACATTGCTTGTCAATTGATTTGGGCATCTAACTGTGCCTCCTCTGTAAGCCCCCCCCCCCCCCCGGGGTGAGAAGGGCGGGGTATAAGTAAGTGAAATAAATAAATAAATAAAAAATTATCTCTAGCCATGCAGCACTCAACAAGTGACTTTTGAACAGTATATGGGTTTCCTTAGAACAGGACAAGCAGCTTCTTGGAGATAAAGAATTGCATTGAAACTTCATAAAGAGCAGCACAGCTGTGGCCATTCAGTGATACCAACAGTAGCTGCGAATGGTGCAGGAAGAGGCCAGCGTCCACTCCTGCAAAAAAGACTATTTCTGGACTGTTGTTGTATATTGTCCATGAAAAATAAACAATGGACAGGTTCCACAAAAGTATCCTATAAGCATACACACTGCCATCCTTGAGGAACTATGTTGTCTAAGGGGTTGGCAGGGATATGTGAGTGAAATGGCCCTTTTAAGTGGGAGGCGAGAGACAGAAGAGTATATAAAGTGATCTAATGCTGGTGGGTAGGAAGAGTTGGAGTTGGAAAACTGATTTGCCTGTAGTGGGAGATTCAGGAAGGGACTCTCAAGGTAATGCTATGTTCCATTATGCCTTTGCTGCAGTAGCTGGTGAGAGGCCCTATTATACTCCAACTGCCATGGCTCTGGCCTCTGACAGAGAGACTAACAGCCAGCATCTGCAGGACTTGATTACCCAATGGCATTCCCCTTTTCTTATAAGTCATCTTTAGATTGTAAGCCTGGGGGGCAGGGAACTGTCAAATTCACAATGTGAAAGGCACTCTGGGAGGCTGCTTTGGCTGAAGTACTAGGTATAAATACTCTTAAATAATCTATATATATAAAAATGCTCTGTGCATAATGAGTACCTTAAAAACAAAAGAACCAATGAACGAAATCACACCAAATTTGGCAATAAAACGTCTCACAACACAAGGAGTGACCATCACTCAAAAAACTATGATTTTGTCATTTGGGAGTTGTAGTTGCTGGGATTTATAGTTCATCTACAATCAAAGAGCATTCTGAACTCCATCAATGATGGAACTGAACCAAACTTGGCACACAGAACTCCCATGACCAACAGAAAATATTGGAAGGGCTTGGTGGGCATTGACCTTGAGTTTGGAAGTTGTAATTCACCTACATCCAGAAAGCACTGTGGACTCAATTATGGATCTGGACCAAACTCTACACGAAGACTCAATATGCCCAAATGTGAACACTGGTGGAGTTTGGGGGAAATAGATCTCATTTGGGAGTTGTAGTCACTGGGATTCACAGTTCACCTACAATCAAAGAGCATTCTGAACCCCACAAACGACAGAATCAGGGCAAACTTCCCACACAGAACCCCTTAAAGAAGGACAATCATATGTTGCATGTTCCAGAGTGGGCAAACCAAACACTCTCCACGTCAACACTGACAAAGAAACCGCAAGAAATACTGTTTACCCACAAGCAGAAAGAAATTACTTATATTAGAAACAGATCAACAGACTGGGCCACAGCAACGCGTGGCAGGGGACAGCTAGTACGGTATGTTTTCATCACTGCAATCTTTTGGGTTGGGTGCAAAAGGTAGAAATCTGTTTCTGTGAATCAACAGGGATCAGGCAAATATGCAACTTACTTTTGATGATCATAATGAAGCTTGCCATTGTTTCCGACAACAATAACTGCTGGGTTGTTTTTCTAAGGAAGACCAGAAATCAAAATAAGAGTATGTTCAGACTCAACAATAATAATATTATGAAGGGGACTTCAGCACTGTTTTGAAACTCTCCCAGTAGAAAAAAACAGTGCTCTTCTGAACTTCAGATTTCAAAAATGTGCATTCATCATCATGAATGCTCTAATTAATTTGGATGTTTCCTATCTTATCAGAAAATACACAATGCCAACGTAAAATATTAGCATTCAGTGTAAGCAGAGAAAAGAGAAAGGCACTGTTCAGAAACTGAAAACCTAATGGCTTAATACATACCTAGAGAAATCAAAGGCAGTAACTTTTAAGACAGTGTAACACTAGAATCATAGAACTGGAAGAGACCTTGTGCGCCATCCAGTCCAACCCTCCACCAAGAAGCAGGAAAATCACATTCAAAGCACCCTTGACAGATAGCCATCCAGCCTCTGCTTAAAAGCCTCCAAAAAAGGAGTCTCCACCACACTCCAGGCAGAGAGTTCCACTGTTGAACATCTCTCTCTGTCAGGAAGTTCTTTCTAATGTTCTGGTGGAATCTTCTTTTCTGTAGTTTGAAGCCAGCCATTGTTCCGTGTCCTAGTTTCCAGGGCAGCAGAAAATAAGCTTGCTCCCTCCTCCCTATGACTCCTCCCTATGACTTCCTCTCACATATGTATACATGGTCCTCATCATGTCTCCTCTCAGTCTTCTCTCTTGAAGGCTAAACATGCCCAGCTCTTTAAGCCGCTCCTCATAGGGCTTGTTCTCCAGACCCTCGATCATTTTAGTCACCCTCCTCTGGACACATTTCAACTTGTCAACATCTCCCTTCAATTGAGGTGCCCAGAATTGGACACAGTATGATTCCAGGTGTGGTCTGACCAAGGCAGATTAGAGGGATAGCATGACTTGGATCTAGACACTATACTTCTATTTATGCAGGTCGAAGTCCCATTGTCCTTGATCCATTTCCTAATGATTTTATACAAATTGGAGCTATGCACACAATGAAAAATTCTACCCGTCAAACATTTTCTGTTTTATTGTCTACTAACCTTTGCATCATTGTCAAAGGAGTCAAAGAAGATGCCAACACCGTTCCAGTTGTCAGCTGCTCCAAAAACAGGACCCTCTAAGCCTTGCTCTTCTGTAAACCAGACGGCCTGTTCAGAAAAATTCAGATCTAAGTTTAAGGCATCCTGGTTTGTACCACTGACTGGGGTTTGCAAAGGTAACCATTCCACATACCAGTCCATCAGCTCCTACTCGCCCTCTTCCTGTCACTCGGAAGGTCACTTCAATCTCCCAATATTCAAATATGGATTTGCTTTTTGTCCATACGGATCCCCTCTGGCTTTTTAATGATGGAGTTATCCTTATCTGATCAGCACTGGGAATAGCATCTGAAAAGAAAATTAGTAAAGTTAGTAACTTTTTCTTTGTATGGAGGTGCATTCTTTATTTTTTGTTTTTCACGTTTGCATTCTTTTAATATAATTTTATACTGTTTAAAGAAAGATGTTTTGATGAATTTTTTTAAAAAAATAGTTTTTAATACACTGCTAACCTAATGCGGTGCCCAGCGGTGCCGCCATCCCTCTGCTTTCATCACATCTTTCTTTCTTTCTTTCCCTCCCTCCTTTCTCCCTTCCCCTCATTTTCCTTCTGATTTCTTTTCTTTTTCTCTTCCTCCCTCCCTCCCTCCCTTCTTTCCACTCACACATATACCACCTGTCTTTCTCACTTACATACTACTCCTCTGTTGTGCCAGCTCCACTGGCTGCCAGTCAGCTTCCGAGCACAATTCAAAGTGCTGGTCTTAACCTATAAAGCCCTAAACGACTCCAGCCCAATTTACCTGTCCGAACATATCCTCCCTATGAACCATCAAGATTGCTAAGATCGTCTGGAGGGGCCCTGCTCTCGATCCCACCAGCCTCACAGGCGCGGCTGGTGGGGACGAGAGGCAGGGCCTTCTCGGTGGTGGCCCCTCGACTCTGGAACTCCCTTCCACTGGAGATCAGAACTGCCCCTTCTATCTTAACATTCAGGAAACAGGTGAAAACTTGGCTTTGGGGATTGGCATTCAACGAATGAGCCATGATCCTATGATATGGATGGATGACGACCAATGATGACTTTTGATGACGACTGACCACTGTAATTATATGATTGTATTTTGCTATTTTAATGTTTTAGTGTGATTTAGAATATGATGTTTTAATGGCTGTATGTAATATTGATGGCCTGAGTTCCTCGAATAGAGGTGAGAAGACCGGTATACAAAACTGCTAAATAAATAAATTACATCACAGAGGGCCGCTTCACCTAGTAACAGCCAATCCTTCACCTAGCAACAGTCAATTAATTGACATCACAGAGGGCCACTTCACCTAGCAAAAGCCATTGTGGCACAAACAGACAGACATGCATACATACTCTGGCTTTTCAATATGCCTCCAGTTGTAGAAAGTATTTTACATAACCATGAAGTGTCCTTTTTTTAAAGAACTGACCCTTATCCTAAGGGGTAAAGGGCAGTAAACGCAATATATCACCACTGCCAATATTTGAGCCCTAAAAATATCTTATGAGGGTGATTTCTGCGATGATCATGACTGGCCCAAGTATTGGTCAAATTTAGACTTTTAAGAGTAAGTGACAGAGGAAACCATGGATTTATCTCTGGAAGAAGAAAAGGCCATCTATAAATCACATCACAGAAACCATGCTCTGTGCCTACATCAACAAGTAATGTAACTTTTACAAATAACTTTTTCACAAACCCCCTATATTACACTCCAGTTCTGAATAAAAGCCGTTCACACTAAGCAATTTGCATAAACTACAGGATGATGTCCTTTTGTATCCATGTTTAGAGTTTTTAAATGCACTTCTTTATTCCCTCCTATTTATGACTTTCAAACCCACTGTCCTAAAATTTGAGTCTGACCAACTCTTGTTGGATTTGCCACATTATCTCAAGTGCTCGTTTAATCAGTGACAGAATAGTAAACACAACGCTATAAAAATTAAGGTCAGTCCACTAGAGTTTTCCACCATATACTATAACAGGAGTGCATTACCTTTATTTGGATAGAGCAAAAAGCTCATGATAATGGGAGATAAGAAGCATTGCTGGAGAGGTTGCTGAACACGGTGTGAAGCACTAAGGCTGGATCCCCACTGCCATATAATCCAGTTTCAGAATGCAGATTACCTGTGCTGAACTGGACTATATGGCAATGTGGACTCATAATAATCCAGTTTCAGAATGGAGCCCCTGGTGGCGTAGTGGGTTAAACCCCTGTGCGGGCAGCACTGAAGACCGACAGGTCACAGGTTCGAATCCGGGGAGAGTGCAGATGAGCTCCCTCTATCAGCTCCAGCTCCCCATGCGGGGACATAAGAGAAGCCTCCCACAAGGATGGTTAAAAACATCAAAACATCTGGGCATCCCCTAGGCAACATCCTTGCAGATGGCCAATTCGCTCACACCAGAAGCAACTTGCAGTTTCTCAAGTCATTTCTGACACAAGAAAAAAAAGAAAAAAAAAGAAAAAAAAGAATGCAGATTACCTGTACTGAACTGGACTATATGGCAGTGTGGACTCATAATAATCCAGTTTCAGAATGCAGATTACCTGTACTGAACTGGACTATATGGCAGTGTGGACTCATAATAATCCAGTTCCAGAATGCAGTTAATCTGCATTCTGAAACTGAATGACATGGCAATTTAGATCCAGACTAAAAGTCAACCTCTCGTTTCTGTCAATCCTGACACATCACCATAAAGTGGCAAATGGTTTCATATCCAGTCATTACCTGAACTAGCAAATAAGCAACTGCAGAAATATCAAGGACTGAGGGCCCTTCCAGGCAGGCCCTTTATCCCAGATTATCTGGCAGTGCGGACTAATATAATCCAGTTTAAAGTATAAAACCCGTGAAAGTATAAAATCCTGGGATAAAGGGACCTGTCTGGAAGGGCCTGGACAGCAGAAAAGACTTTGGCCTAAATGAGAAGAATACATTATTTCCTAAAGTGTACACTCTGACTACTCACAGCTGAGGCACTAATCCCAGAATTATAAGCATTGCTACATACAGTGATGTCAAAGTACTATAATTTTTCAGTGCAGCAATATGAATTTCATAGGGCTTTCTTAGGCAAGGTATATTCAGAAATGGTTCTGCCAATTCGTTTCTCTCAAATATAGTCTGTGCACATGGGATCTGTTGGCAGTCTCCCATCTAAGTACTAACCAGGGTTGACTATGCTTGGCTTCTAAAACTCAGACGAGATTTTGAACTTTTAGACTATTTAAAGTGGACCAGTGTTACATACCAGATTCATACAAGCTTGGAAGTTCACATAAATACGAAATGGAAAAACAAAGAACTACTCTCAAAAGAAAAGTGGACTATAAAAGTGTTAGAATTGGCAGAAATGAAGAAGAGGTCTGGTCTGATAAAGGTGAAGTCAACAGACATACAGATATTATTTATATATATATATATATATATATATATATATATATATATATATATATGTTAGTCTTACAGGTTGTGTTGTTTTTTACTTTGTATGTTTCACTCAGCGGCACTCTGCACATGCTGAGACTGCTTTACTCAGTCTCCCTCTGCACATGCCCAGAGGCCCTGTTACTTGATCTGCACTCTGCACATGCTCAGAGGCCTTGCCTTCCTCAGCTGCACTCTGCACATGCTGAGAGACCTGGCTTTATTCAGATGCACTTTACACATTCCAACACTGCTTTACTCAGTTGCATTTTACTCAGCTGCACTCTGCACATGCCCAGAGGCCCTGCTTTACTCTGCTACACTTTACACATGCCGAGACTGCTTTACTCAGCCGCACCCTACACACACCCAGAGGCCCTGTTACTTGATCTGCACTCTGCACATGCCCAAATACTCTGCTTAACTCAGTTGCACTTTATACTGTTTCACTCAGCTGCACTCTGCACAGATTCAGAGACCCTGCTACTTCATCTGCACATGCCCAGAGGCCCTGCTTTACTCAGGTGCACTCTGCACATGCTGAGACTGCTTTACTCAGTCTCACTCTGCATATGCCCAGAGGCCGTTACTTGATCTGCACCCTGCACGTGCCCAGAGGCCTTGCCTTCCTCAGCTGCATTCTGCACATGCTGAGAGACCCGGCTTTACTCAGCTGCACTTTAGACATGCCAACACTGTTTTACTCAGCTGCACTCTGCACATGCCTAGTGGCCCTGCAACTTGATCTGTCCATGCCCAGACACTATGCTTTACTCAGTTGCACTTTACACATGCCAAAACTGCTTTACTCAGCGGCACTCTGCACATGCACAGAAGCCCTGCTACTTCATCTGCACATGCCAAGACCCTGCTTTAATCAGCTGCACTTCACACATACCAAGACTGCTTTACTCAGTTGCACTTTGCACACACACAACTAGAGGCCCTGCTGCTTGATCTGTACTCTGCACATGCCCAGAGGCCCTGCTTTAATCAGCTGCACTCTGCACATGCACAGAGGCCCTGCTTCTTCATTTGCACTCTGTACATGCCCAGAGGCCCTGCTGCTTGATCTGCACATGGCCCTGCTTTAATCAGCTGCACTCTGCACATGCATAGAGGCCATGCTTCATTTGCACTCTGTACATGCCAAGACGCTGCTTTACTCAGCTGACCTCTGCACATGCCCAGAGGCCCTCCTTTACTAAGCTGCACATGCCCAGAGGCCCTCCTTTACTAAGCTGCACATGCCCAGAGGCGCTGCTACTTCACCTGCACTCTGCACATGCCCAGAGACCCTGCTTTAATCAGCTGCACATGCCCAGAGGCCCTGCTGCTTCACTTGCACTCTGCACATGCCCAGAGGCCCTTCTTTACTCAGCTGCACTTCAAACATACCAAGACTGCTTTACTCAGTTGCACTTTGCACACATGCCCAGAGGCCCTGCTTTACTCAGCTGCACTCTGCACATGCACAGAGGCCCTGCTTCTTCATCTGCACTCTGCACATGCCAAGACCCTGCTTTAATCAGCTGCACTTCAAACATACCAAGACTGCTTTACTCAGTTGCACTTTGCACACACACCCAGAGGCCCTGCTGCTTGAACTGCACTCTGCACATGCCCAGGGGCCCTGCTTTACTCAGCTGCACTCTGCACATGCCCAGAGGCCCTGCTACTTTATCTGCACTCTGCACATGCCCAGAGGCCCTGCTTTAATCAGCTGCACTTTACACATGACAAGGCAGCTATACTCAGTTGCACTCTGCACATGCCCAGAGGCCCTGCTTTACTCAGCAGCTCGTGCCCAGATACCCTGACTGGCCTCTGGCCCCTGCACATGCCCAGAGGCTCTGCTTCCCCCCCCCCTGTCCGGGCACCTACTTCCGGTGTGAACCCAGAAAGGCACGGCGCCGTCCCCTTGCGCCAAGTGCGGCCCCTTGAAGCTATATTTGTACTCAAAGCGCCGGTGCGGAGCCAAGGGAGTGCCCCCGCCGCCTCCGCCTTCCGCCTGGCCCGTGGCCTCCGCGAAGGGGAGCGAGAGCACGGCGGCCCACAGCACCCACTCCCCGGCGCCTCTCTGCCTCTCAACCCCGCGCGCCGCCATCTTGCTCTCCCAGCTCACGCAGCCCGGCTCGGCCAACAGGGCGCTCCGTGATTGGCCGAGACCGCCGAGGGGGCGGGGCCTGCCAGCAGCCAAAGGGTAAAGAGCGTGGCGGGGTTTTTCAAAAGAGGGCGTGGCTTAGTTGTCCCCTCCCCCTTACAGGGAAGAAGGAGGCTATGCCCACAGTGACTCCGCCCACGTAGTGACGTAGAGGATGGGCATCAACAACAGGCCGGGGCCAAATCATAGAATCATAGAATCATATTGTTGGAAGAGACCTCATGGGCCATCCAGTCCAACCCCCTGCCAAGAAGCAGGAATATTGCATTCAAATCACCCCTGACAGATGGCCATCCAGCCTCTGCTTAAAAACTTCCAAAGAAGGAGCCTCCACCACACTCCAGGGCAGAGAGTTCCACTGCTGAACGGCTCTCACAGTCAGGAAGTTCTTCCTCATATTCAGAGTGCAGCTGAGTAAAGCAGGGTCTTGGCATGTACAGAGTGCAAATGAAGAAGCAGGGCCTCTGGGCATGTGCAGAGTGCAGCTGATTAAAGCAGAGCCTCTGGGCATGTGCAGAGTGCAGATCAAGCAGCAGGGCCTCTGGGCATGTGCAGAGTGCAGGTGAAGCATCAGGGCCTCTGGGCATGTGCAGAGTGCAGGTGAAGCATCAGGGCCTCTGGGCATGTGCAGAGTGCAGGTGAAGCATGAGGGCCTCTGGGCATGTGCAGCTGATTAAAGCAGGGCCTCTGGGCATGTGCAGAGTGCAGATCAAGCAGCAGGGCCTCTGGGTGTGTGTGTAAAGTGCAACTGAGTAAAGCAGTCTTGGTATGTTTGAAGTGCCGCTGATTAAAGCGGGGTCTCTGGGCATGTGCAGAGTGCTAGTGAAGCAGCAGGGCCTCTGGGCATGTGCAGCTGAGTAAAGCATGGTCTCTGGGCATGTGCAGAGTGCAGGCGAAGAAGCAGGGCCTCTGTGCATGTGCAGAGTGCAGCTGATTAAAGCAGGGCCTCTGGGCATGTGCAGAGTGCAGATCAAGCAGCAGGGCCTCTGGGTGTGTGTGCAAAGTGCAACTGAGTAAAGCAGTCTTGGTATGTGTGAAGTGCAGCTGATTAAAACAGGGTCTTGGCATGTGCAGAATGCAGATGAAGTAGCAGGGCCTCTGTGCATGTGCAGAGTGCAGCTGAGTAAAGCAGTTTTGGCATGTGTAAAGTGCAACTGAGTAAAACATAGCGTCTGGGCATGGACAGATCAAGTTGCAGGGCCACTGGGCATGTGCAGAGTGCAGCTGAGTAAAACCGTTGGCATGTGTAAAGTGCAGCTGAGTAAAGCCAGGTCTCTCAGCATGTGTGCAGAATGCAGCTGAGGAAGGAAGGCAAGGCCTCTGGGCATGTGCAGGGTGCAGATCAAGTAACAGGGCCTCTGGGCATATGCAGAGTGAGACTGAGTAAAGCAGTCTCAGCATGTGCAGAGTGCACCTGAGTAAAGCAGGGCCTCTGGGCATGTGCAGATGAAGTAGCAGGGTCTCTGGGTCGGTGCAGAGTGCACCTGGAGTTAGGGCACAAGTTGGCCCAGGCCTGCTTTAGAAGAACGAAGAGAAACATTCAAACATCCTGGAAGAATTCTTCAAAAAGGACTTCCAAGCCTGAAATGATTCATCCATATCTTATCAAGGAATTCCAGTTGCACTACCCGTGACTGAAATCCAGTTAATGGAGTTTTATCTCAGTGCAGAAGTTCAACAATGGGATAGTGTACAAATGTTTGTTTTGCCATAAATAGTCCAAGCGTATCTGGATTTCAGGAAGACCTTCCTTCCACAAGGTCCCCCACGTTCTTTGGGCAATGCAAACTAGTCAAATGTGAGCTAGACCAAACAGTGGTTAGGTGGATCTGGTAATTAGTTATGTGAACGAACCCAGAGGGTTTTTATTTATTTACTAGCTGTCCCCTGCCACGCGGTGCTGTGACCCAGTCTGGTGATCTGGAAAATAAAATTATTTATTTATTTATTTATCGTGTCAGGAGCAACCAGACATTTGTATTACATTTTTAAAAAACAAAACAAATAAACAAACAGACAAAACACAAAGTTTGCAAGCTTGGTAGTTAATTAAATGTCCTTTGACCAGTATCTGGCCACTTGGAGTGCCTCTGGTGTTGCTGCAAGAAGGTCCTCCATGGTGCATGTAGCAGGGCGCAGGTTGCATTGCAGCAGGTTGTCAGTGGTTTGCTCTTCTCCACACTCGCATGTCGTGGATTCGACTTTGTAACCCCATTTCTTGAGTTTGGCTCTGCATCTCATGGTGCCAGAGCGCAGTCTGTTCAACGCCTTCCAAGTCGCCCAGTTTTCTATGTGCCCAGGGGGGAGTCTCATTTGGTATCAGCCATTGATTGAGGTTCTGGGTTTGAGCCTGCCACTTTTGGACTCTGCTTGCCTGGGGTGTTCCAGCGAGTGTCTCTGTAGATCTTAGAAAACTATGTCTTGATTTAAGTCGTTGGCGTGCTGGCTGATATCAGAACACGGGATAGGCCAGAGATGTCACTGCCTTGGTCCTTTCATTATTGGTTGCTACTTTCCGACAGATGTCAGATGGTGCAATACCGGCTAGACAGTGTAATTTATCCAGAGGTGTAGGGCACAGACAGCCTGTGATAATGTGGCATGTCTCTTTAAGAGGGTGATTCTCCCCAATGCTTCCTCTTCATCCTGGAAAGAAGTGACGAGCAGAGTGCCAGAAGCAGGGTTCCTTCCTGGGCCCGGTCCTGTCCAACATCTTCATTAATTACTTTGATGAAGGGTTAGAAGGCTTGGTCATCAGTTTTGCAGGCGACACAAAATTGGGAGGGATAGCCAATATTCCAGAAGACAGGAGCAGAATTCAAAATGATCTGAACAGATTAGAGAGATGATTGGCCAAAACTAAGAAAATGAAGTTCAACAGGGACATATGCAAGATACTCCACTTAGGCAGCAAAAATGAAATGCACCGATACAGAATGGGGAACGCCCGGCTCAACAGCAGTATGTATGAAAAAAATTCTTGGAGTCCTCGTGGACAACAAATTAAACATGAGCCAATAATGTCACGTGGCAGCTAAAAAAAAGCCAATGGGATTTTGGCCTGCATAAATAGAACCAGGGAAGTCATGCTACCTCTCTATTCTGCCTTGGTCAGACCACACCTGGAATACTGTATCCAATTCTGGGCACCACAGTTGAAGAGAGATGTTGACAAGCTGGAAGTTGTCCAGAGGAGGGCGACTAAAATGATCGAGGGTCAGGAGAACTAGTCCTATGAGGAGCAGCTTAAAGAGCAGGGTCTGCAGAAGAGAAGGCTGCGACGAGACATGATGGCCATGTATAAATATGTTAGGGGAAGTCATAGGGAGGAAGCTTGTTTTCTGCTTCCCTGGAGACTAGGACGCGGAACAATAGCTTCAAACTACAAGAAAGGAGATTCCACCTGAACATTAGGAAGAGCTTTCTAACTGTGAGAGCTGTTCAGCAGTGGAACTCTCTGCCCCGGGATGTGGTGGCGGTTCCTTCTTTGGAGGCTTTCAAACAGAAGCTGTTGGGGATGCTTTGAATGTGATTTTCCCGCTTCTTGGGTTGGACTGGATGGGCCACAAGATCTCTTCCAACTCTATGATTCTTTGTGAACGGATACTGCAACAATTTCCCAACCTACAAGCTTCTATCCATGTATACTTTTTATATGTCTTCTTTCACGTCACCATTGTTTTTAACTCATTCAATTTACCTAGCTTTTAAGGCAGCACAAAATTTGTTTCTCCTTATAATAAATGAGCAAACGTGACTTTTGAAAAATCCCACAATCTGTTATTGAATTTTTGGTATCTTATAAAATTGGGAAGATCCAAAGAAATATGAAAATTCTTATCCTGAACTTGAAGGTCAATTCCGACTCTTGGATTTGACTCTCGTAGTAAATAAATCCCAGACTTTCTTTCAGGAATTGTTTTAATCCTGATCAAGTAGGGTTTTAATCAAGGGCTGCCTTCTGTCAGACAACAAAAGGGACGATCCTAAACTGTAATTTGCCAGGCTGGGGAATGGCAGCCTCCCACTGTGTCCCAGCGTTTATGACACACCAAATGCTTTTGAAGCTCTTCCCAGGGGAAAATTCATAAACAGCTTCTGCACACATTGAGAACAAGAGAACGAGGGAAGAAAAGAGATTGTAATCCTTCAGTGGACATGAGACATGACAGGAGATACCCTAAACTGTACATTTCCCAGATGGTCAAGGGATCTGGCTATTCCTGCGCAATTTGCATTCAGAATCTACATTTATCCACAAGTATGACCATTTCCTCCATCAACGTCAACAACTCAGAGCATGCTGCTTATATCTTCATTAGTCTTTCATGCTGAGAAACAGTAAAAATGTAGAAATTAGAGCAATCTTCTCTGATTAAAGTTTTGTCAATCCCAGTATCCACAATGAGTTTGGCCACATCATGCTGAAAATAATAGGAGCTGAGGTTGGACACTCATAGTTGCGGAAATATGGATTTGGGATTCTGACTAGGAGTGCACCCACACTGCAGAATTCATGCAGCTTGGTGCCATGGCTAAATGCTATAAGATCCTGTGAATTGTAATTTGGTACTCTTTTTTTTTTTGTCGTGTCAGGAGCATCCTGTTGTGAGAGAATTGGCCGTCTCGTTGCCCAGGGGACGCCCGGATGATGTCCCCGCATGAGGAGTTGGAGCTGATAGAGGGAGCTCATCCGCCTCTCCCCGGATTCGAACCTGTGACCTGTCGGTCTTCAGTCCTGCCGGCATAGGGCTTTAACCCACTGCGCCACCGGGGGCAGTTTGGTACTGCCATAATCCTTTTGTAGAGAATACTAAAGACATTGTAAAAACAAGAATTGAGCCAAGACAGTTAAAGTAATATCAAGCTGCATTGACACCAAATGGATGGATTCTTGGATTGGGAATACTAAATTTCCAATTAGCCACAAAGCTTTAGGAGTGCACCTGCACTGTAGAATTGGTGCAGTTTCATATCTC